ATTCTATGTTTAATATTCCAATTAGTCGTTCTTTCAGTCACAACTAAAATTAACATTTATTTTAATGTTGAAAAATAGCTTCTTTTACATAACTTACATTCTGAATAAAGTAATTTTAGTCTATTCTATAAGTTGCAACAGTTTTTTATAATGTTTCAATTGAATAACTATTAAGAATATCTTAAAATAACTTACAATATGTTACGATGTTACATTAAACTAGGTATTTCGCTTTCCATACTAAGTGAAATAGGGACAAACATGACGTCATTCAGTGCCAAAAATAAAATTGTCGAAACCTTACAATACGTACTATTCTGGTAGGTTCACCTTCACTAGTCATTCAATGTTTTTATCATAGGTTAGATAATTTTTTTCCCAGATTCTACATTACAATGGATTCGTTCATTTCCCCCAAGGTTTTCCATCACGATCGGTCCTGCGCTGCCCGCATCCAGGTTCATCCCGCGACCTTCACGAGATCGTCGGTCCATCTAGTAGGAGGCCTGCCCACTAAACGTTCTCCGGCCCCACCTTTGTCTCTTCCGGCCAGCCGAGACAAAAGTCTTTGAACAGTGTGTGTTGCCAGTGATGGTATATGGATCTGAAACATGGTCGCTTGCTATGGGCCTCATAAGAAGGCTCAAGGTCACCCAAAGAGCGATGGAGCTTCCCAAATAGGTTATAGTAGAAAAAAGTTGTATGCAATTTATTAATGATAGTTTTAGCGACGACACCGATAAGTTGATACATGTTTTTTTCCTTACTTCTTCACATCAGGCGGGCTATCTTTTTAAATACTGGTGTGATTTAAATGAATTTGGTATCAATTTAAAGTTAAAACTTAATCTTTAAAATGGTGCTACTTTTTGTTACTAACAAATTCGTTAGTACACAAGATCGCGTGGAAACATCTTCATGTAAGTGATTCCATACTTTTGCTCGCGAGTGTATTATGTAACTTGAAGGAGCGCTAAAACTATCATTAATAAATTGCATGACAACTTTTTTCTTCTGTAACCTATATTTTGAGCAGGACGTCTGTCGTGCGTTTGCAAAATATCATTTTCCATGTTCGTCTTGCAAAATGTCCAGCTCAAAACGTTTTATTTGAATGCACTCTTACTTGCTTTCTTTGCTAAGGAGTTCTGTAGTAAATCTCTGTTTGTTCATTTTCGTGAATCTACCGAATAAACTTGTTTTGTGCTACTGAACCAGTTATTTCCAGAACGCCGCGACAACTTTGAAAACCACTTTGAATGTGAGCCCGGAATAAGTTATGCCCGAGATGGTGCTATTGTTGCAGCCGGTCGCTTTTCTGAAAATGTACGGAACGAAGTCTTTGTATCGATCTAAGACTAGTACTTTTCGGGGACTTTTCCTATGAAAAATTAAAAACTAGGTTTTGTCATTGTATGAACTGAGCTAAAATGGAACTGAGACGATGCTATTGTTCCAATTCGTCGCTTTGCTTAAAATGTAGAGAGCGAAAACGCTATAGGTATACGTCATACACCTACATACGTCACTTTTCAAGGTCGTTTTCCTGTAAAGAATGCAAAAACTAGTTTGGAGCCTGTTTTTCATTATTCCTATGTCCTGATTTATATGTGATTTCTGTATAAAAGTAAAGAAATATGAGGCAACTGTGGTGACTGATACATCAACAGATAGCTCAAACTATTAAGCGGATTGCGCTGAAAGGCACGCAGTCGCAGATAGGTATTGTGGCATCGGCTAAAACAGAATACCAAAACCCACCAAGGGGATGAACAGGGGTTCAAAGATTAACGCAAGCTTAGTTTTGGGCAAAAGTTAGTATACTGCTGTATTTCCTGAACACTATAATCCGGGCCTTTTCAAGGCGAGAGTGAATAGGCACTTACAGGGCAGATATGTACCGTCCTAGACTGCATCTCACTTAACACCAGGTGCGATTGCGGTCAAATACCTGCCTTGCCTTGCAAAAAAATACAATAAAAGTGTAAAATTTTAACATGTCTACAAAAGATGTATCAGATATTTCACATTATTATAAAATTCTTACAGCTATCCTAATTGACTGACCTGACCAAGTGTCTCGCACTGCTTCTTCTTAGCACTGGCCCACATTATTGGACAGACGCCGTGAGCACTGAGCAGGTTTAAATGAGACATATAAAATAGCTTTTTAAAAGCCCATTTGCAAAAAATAATGACTTTATGACTTTCTACGGAACCCAAAGAAATCTAACAAAGCCGTATCAAACTTCCCGTGTTTTCAGGTCACCGTGGTTTCACTGCAAAACTGCAAAGGTATGAATAATGAAGTATCTTTGCACACGGTAATTATAAAGGGCTATGTTCCTTAGCCGGGTTCTTGACCTCTTTTCTTGTATCATCTTTTTAATTATTCAACAAAGGGTGGATTGTGTTAATAAAGGTGATAATTTTCCTGTTAAGGAAAACATTCTTGACGGTTTTCTGGTAGAATAAAATAGGTCATTTTGTCGCGTCCAGTCCCTGTAATTAAAGATGGTTAAACTTTTATTAAAAAGAGGATAAATCTTAACGGTATTGTATGGTTTGAACTAAGTTCATTATAGCTTGTTTTGTAGTGCAAAAATATTAAGTTATTTCAACCTAACTAAGGACTTTTTACCCCTATTTATTGGTACGTTTTTGGGTTCAAACTACGCTATGGAAGACTTTTTTTTGTTCTTTACACAAAAGTATATCAATACTTGCTAGGTCACATACAAATATAAAAATGTTTTGATTATTATGAAAATTATTCCTATGCTATTGTTAAAGTCAAATATGAATTCCTCATCCCAAAGTATTTCACTTATTAAGAGTCACAAAGTTTGACTACGAGTAAGTATAAAGCCTAGAGACAGAACTAAAACTGAGTGAATACTGACATACTGCAATTCCAACTTTCCCATTTGACTTTTAAACTTTGGTCTTTCAAAACTTTGAAGTTAAGCTTAAGGCTTGGTATTTCTGCTAAAGTAGGTATTTCGCGCTGTCAAAATCTGCGCGCGCAATACTTCGCCGAAGACAGCGCGCCAAAGAGCTCTCGCGGCTACACAGTATAGAAATACGCAGCTTAGAAATACGCAGTTGGTTAGGTTAGGTTGACTTCCTTCCGTTCAAGCGTCACACTCACAGCACTTTCTAATACAAATCATATCCAAGTGATACAAATTAAAACAACTTTCAAAATTTTTGGGAATATATTTTAGAATCGAATAAATATAGAATATAACTGCCAAAGTAAACACGGTTCAAAGAGGCGTGGCGTCACCCGACCTTCCGGAAGTTCCGCGCCGGCTAGAAGAATTTCAAGATTACGTCACCCGACCTATCGGTAGATCCTCGGGAGCTTGAGCTATTGGAAAAACNTGCGTCCACGCGCACAAGACCTCATTGTAATGTTTGTGAATACGGGCGTTAGTATGCCTAATAATATTATGTATTTACTTACACTAATTCAACAAGGGTTCTACTCGTGACTATCTTTCGTTTCAATTATATAACGTCCACTGCTAAAGCCTGGTCCGTGAGCACGTAGAATTTTGTCCAATGACCCCAAGCTACCCATCCTTATCGCTCGCGCGTAATTATATTGCTGTCGCGACTGTGCGACGGGCGGCGCCCGCAGTGAGTGTGCGAGCGCGACAGCAACATAATTACGCGCGAGCGATAAGGATGGGTAGCTTGGGGTCATTGGACAAAATTCTACGTGCTGACGGACCAGGCTTTAGACAAAAAAAAGTCTCCCCCAAGGATTTCTATAACGGCCGGCCCTGCGCTGCCCGAATTCTGGTGTTTCTTGCGACCTTCCATAAGAGACCGAGTGAGAGGCCTGGGTCCGTGGCCGAGTCCCCCAGTTTTCGACGCACCCGTGGTCGACGCCCCCGGTCAGTTAAATTCGATTTGAAGCAATTTTTAATCAAATGTACAGTCAGGCACAAAAATGTTTATAAACTAATAAATATTTATTAGGCCAGTAGAATTAAACACAAAAATGAATCTAATGAAATGAAAATATTCCTACAAAAGTTTTTTGTTTCTTACTACTGCTGGTTTTGGGTTAAAATTTTGCTCCCAGATTGCATAAATACCGTCAAACATGCATAGTTTAGTATAATAATTAGCTTGTGAAACTTTTTTCGTTGGCTGTACTTAGTGCAAAAGCCGACAAAAATGTGATATTAAATTTATTTAAATCGGGGGCGTCCACCACGGGTGCGTCAAATACTGGGGGACTCGGCCACGGACCCAGAGGCCTACGTATACTACAGTAAATACAAATGAGTAGGTCACGTTCATAGAAACGCACCGAGCGCGGTTTGTATGTGAGCGCGCCAATACGTATGCGGCGCGCACGCACACACTGACAAAGTTTAGCGTGGATTAGCGGGGTGTTTTACTCTGCCTAAACTACGTCTTCTGGTCCGTATTCATGGGGTAAAAAACAGTTACCCCATACTTTTTGTTCCATAATTCACATGGAATGATGGCGATCAGTCAGTTTAGGACAGCTTGTATTGTTTAGTCGTATGTTTACCTATGTAGAAGCGTTTGATTAGAGCACATAATACGAAGTTAGATAGGCCTTTTTCGTAGAAAACAACATAATCACCATTTCGTGCTATCGCTTGAAGATACAGATGCAACTCAGAGATACTATATTATAGGTATAAATTAAACTTCGTAGTACTAAAAACTAGTTTTAGCTCACGGCTTCACCCACGAGAAATACAATTTATCGGTATAAATTATAGCACAAATTATGTTATTCTGAAGTATAAACAATAAAACTGCAAAGTTTTATCTTTCTTTCATTCTTTTTGTGTGATAGAGTAACAAACATACTTACATCCTCACAAACTTTCGTATATATAATATTAACGGTTTAGGGCTACTATCTTATCAAAAAATCATAAAATTTCATAAATTACAACTAAAGAAGAGCGATAATTATTTTATCTTCGATATGCTAAAGAAAGATTATTCAATTATATCAAAATATTAGTTTTGTGATTTGCTGAAGATGCCGGACTATTTGTGGAAACAACTGGGAATATCATTATGCGGTAAGTTTTTATTAAATTAATAAATAAGTAATTTTCTTCCTTGATAGAGTAAAGGCCTCATTTACCATCTCTCAGTGAAGTGCCCAGTAGGCTAGGTTTAAGGGACTATTCCCACATCTCGTTCCCACCACTGCAACTCCTGTGTAGCCAGGATCTACAGCTTGACCGCCATAAAACTCAACCAATGAAGGTCAAGTTTGTCCCGGGGGAAAATTAAACTGTAATTGGACCCGCAACGAAATTAATCAGAAGAACATAGGAGGAGTTCGAAATTAAGGTTCGACTTCCCTCCATTGCAAAGCGGATGACAGGTGACAAACAAAGGTTGAAAACCTTTCAGAAAAGATTATGCACCACGGACAATAAATATCAATTAAGGGGGCCTATCTTATGAGCAATTAGCAACTACCTGCCAAGGCTAGGTTTAGCAAAAAGTGCATGAGTGCAAGCAAATCAATGAAGCCACTATAGCCGAACGGTGAACGGACTGGCCGACTCGTGATCCGACGAACGCGGGTGCGACAAATCTCGCCGCCGCTCCACTATTATAGTGAACCGAATCGTAACACAAGCATATTTTTTACTACGAGGAGTTATAAAATTGCTAATATTCTTTAAAAAAAATGTACCTAAGTTAAAGTGCAATAAACAATGAAACCGTGCAATATCATTCTCTCACGAGCCCGCGTGACGTCTCACAGCAGGTCTGCCCATTCTGAAAGGCCAGCGTGGGTAATGTAAGCCCAATACTTCTTTTGCTCCTGGTATTATATAGGGTCGAGAACCTGCAGAGACTAAATGACCTGATGACGATAACAAAATAAATAAAAGAAGGTCGTGCTTCCATATCTGGGCCTCATAAGAAGGCTCAAGTTCACCCAAAAGGCGATGGAGCGTGCTATGCTCGGAGTTTCCCTACGTGATCGAATCAGAAATGAGGAGATACGTAGGAGAACCAGAGTGACGGACATAGCCCGCAGAATCGCTAAAATCAAGTGGCAGTGGGCGGGGCACATAGCTCGTAGAGCTGATGGCCGCTGGGGCAGGAAAGATCTTGAGTGGCGACCACAAGCCGAAAGACGTAGCGTGGGCAGGCCTCCCACTAGGTGGACGTGGACCGACGATCTGGTGAAGGTCGCGGGAGGCGCCTGGATGCGAGCGGCGCAGGATCGGTCTTCGTGGAAATCCTTGGGGGAGGCCTTTGTCCAGCAGTGGACGTCTTTCGGCTGAAACGAACGAACATGCTTTTACAGTGGAGACTAAATGACCTGCTGATGATGAATTATTTACATTTCAGTGTACGTAGGCCAGATTCTAGTCGGGTACTGTATGGGCTGGACTGCCCCCGTCATCGTGAAGCTGCAGAACCCCGATGAGACACCCTTATCGGGGCCCATCTCTGATGCACAAGCCTCGTGGGTGGCGTCTGTGATCTACATTGGTACTATTACTGGTAAGATGCAAGAAGTTAAAATTTTATTTTGTTCTATTCAAAAAACAAACAGCTTACAAATACCTAGCCTATAGTTTTCACCTCTATATAGGGTGTTAGGTAAATGGGTATACTCGTATGAGCCGACACTAGCCCATGTTAACTTGGGCATTTATATGGTATGGTGAAGTCAGAAATTTGATACCTATCATTTTAATTTTTTAAATTTTCATACAAAATAAATTTTATGAAATCCGATTTGTATGAAAATTAAAATAATTAAAACGAAGATATACATCTGACTTCACCATACCATTTATATGCCCATTTTAACATTGGGCTAGTGTCGGCTCATATACCCTGTATAACCAAGGGGTATAAAATAAAAAAATAAATAAATGAAGTAACTCGTTGGGAAAAAAATCCCATCAAGTCCAATCTTTTGCTCGTCGTATGAAGCATACAAAAACTAAACTCACCACCTCAATCTCATCTTTTTTACTTCCCTAACCTTTAAATTTTACTGGTGAACAGGGAATGCTATAAGCCTGGTCTGTGAGTACGTAGAATTTTGTCCAATGGCCCCAAGCTACCCATCCTTATCGCTCGCGCGTAATTATATTGCTGTCGCAACTGTGCGACGGGCGCCCGCAGTGAGTGTGCGAGCGCGACAGCAACATAATTACGCGCGAGCGATAAGCTTGGGGTCATTGGACAAAATTCTAGTAAGTACTTATGTACAAATACTTGCCGTATTTTTATAGCGTTATCTTTATTTTAAATTCCAGGGCCTTACGTCTCCGGGTACTTATCAAACAAGAGAGGTCGGAAGCTGGCTCTCTTCTTAGGAGGGTTTGTGACCCTGATATCCTTCATCGTCCTGGCCACAGCCGTCAATATGTCCATGCTGCTCGCTGGGAGGATCTTCGTCGGCTTCGGAACGGGGATCATGTTCGTCACCAACTTTGTGTATTTGGGGGAAATTGCGTGAGTACCTACTACCTACTCGTACATGGGACTCTTCCCACCTCTCGTTCCCACCGCTGTAACTCCTGTGTAATCAGGATCTATAACTTGACCGCCAATAAAAACCCAACTAGTGAAGGCCAAAGCGATAAATAAATAAATAAATAAAATAAATATATTTATTTCTGTAAATAGGCTTAAAAAAAGCACTTTTACAATGCCCAGTATTAACCCTACCACTGCTTCAGGACAATCAATGGGCCAGTGCTGAGAAGAAGCAGCGCAAGAAACTCAGTCACTATTGTCAGCCTCTTTTTCAAAGGTTTACAGGCTTTAAAAATACATAGTATAAATATTTATGCGAGCTAGACAGTTACGCATCATAATGTTATCGTTGGAGATTACCAATTTTAGTTAAAAAATCATATGCTAACTAATGAAAGTTCACAAGAACGCACAGCAGCAAGGCAGACGGCGAAACCACAATTATATTGCAATTGTGTCTGAACAAGGGATATTTTATTGTTGTTTTACTACGGAACCCTCAGTTATTTATTATATACAATACAGACCCGTAAACTTTGAAAGCTTGGTAATTAGAGTGGGAATAATTACATTAAAATTTTACAGCCGATCATTTCCGATGGTCGAGTGACCCAGTCGCTATGTGACAATTTAAATCGGAGTGACTACTCAAACGGGCAATAATTTTTAGATCTTTCTGTCTTTTTTATTCGCAGCGAGATTCTTCCATGAGAGAAGGACAGACTTGCTAATACGGGGACCGCGTTATAGAGTAGGCTCGTAGTAACGAAATAATACATAAACCGTCTTAAGAAATAAACCTACAGTCACAAAATGGTTCTCGGAAACTCTTAAATGTTTTAACGTCGTTTAATCACTTTGATATCAAATAATGAGAGAGCCCTCAATTCTTAGGATTTAAATTCAGTGGAGCAGAACAGAGTAATTAATTAAATACACATCAAAATTGTAGACATTCGTAGAAGTGGAGTGGAATAATGTGTATATTAAACTCGTTTTAACAAAAAGTCTTCCACTGAAATAGAGAAACAATAGAGAAATTTTTATGTTACTAACGTCATATAACTCGCTACGTCTTCCAGCCCGTGGTCGTCACTCCAGAATTTTTCTGCCCCAACGGCTACAATCTCTACGAGCTTTGTGCCTCGCCCAGGCCTCCTACTAGGTGGGCCGACGATCTGGTAAAGGTCGCGGGAAGAGCCTGGATGCGGGCAGCGCAGGACCGTGCACTGTGGAAAACCTTGGGGGAGGCCTTTGTCCGGCAGTGGACGTCTTTTGGCTGAAACGAACGAACGAACATGTAACTAACAAGCAGACTCTCACACTCAATCTGCTGTTGAAATGGAACGCGAAAGTTTAAAGTCTTCCACTGCTGAACGATGGCCTCCAAGGATTTCCTAAAGTCCTAGTCCTGCGTTACCCGCATCCAGGTGCTTCTCGACCTTCACTAGATCGTCGGTCCACAGAGTATAAGTGCTTGTTCACGTAGGCACGCGCGGGCACGGGCGCGGGNATTCATACCTAAAGTGGGAGATGGTAAAAATTAGAATTGGTGTTTTGTAACTATAAGGTGAGTTTAAAAAAAAGATTTTCTTAGTAAGTAATTTATAATTTTCAATCAAAATCAAATTCAAACAAGGTTCCTCTTTATTATTTAATTTAATTAATATTATCGTTATCAACTAAACAACATTTCTGTTCATATGATGACTGTGTTTACTTTGCCAAATAGGAGTTCTAGCCTGAATAGCACTAATAAACTCTTCTGTATTGAACGACATGATAAAAACGTGCTATCGTTTCTAGCGACAAGATCAAACTGGTTGAACTTACCTGACGTCGTGAGTGAAACGCGCGCGCCGCCGCTAGTTTGACATGAACACACACAAACATCTTCACGCGTTGAAATTACCGCGAGCGCTCCGCGCGCACCAGTCGCTAGCTTGCCCGCTAGTTAGACCGCACGTGCGTTTCGTACGTGAACACTTGGAATCACTACATATGTTTGATATTTCGTCACCGCGCCCGCACCCGCGCCCGCGAGTCAACGTGTGCAAGCACTAAGGCCTGCCGTCATTGCGATTTCCGATCCCTGGTAGCTGGTACTCGAGAACTTTTGCCCCAATGAATGGTCATCGTTTTTACAAGCTATGTGCCCCACCTATTGCCACTTATTAAGTTTATTAATAATTCTTCAAACTACGTTTGTATACCTCTCTCTTCATAAATATGAAAATCTAGAGGCAGTTAATTTATCCAATGAAAATTGTATTAAATTTATTTTTTTACTTTTTTCTTTAATTTCTCCTTTAAGGTATGTTAATGGTTATAAATACGTACCCAAATGAACCTCGTACTTATTTTTGCAGTCATTGACTTTCTTCAATCCGCGTCATGCCAGGGGACGTTTAGTTCTCAGTCAGTGTATCCAAGGCTTTATATTTTCTTATTATAATATTTCCTTATAAATATTATGAACCTGAGTTCATTCCCTCACACCTTGCGTTTCATGTTATCGAACCCCGAGTTGCAAAACAGAAGTTCACGCCAAAAATAAAGTGATGCTGAATTATCGATACTTTTATCGATTTGATCTTGAATATCAGAATATCTAGAACGTCAATGGTATTGGTATCATCGCGGCATTTGGTTTGTTAGCTGTTATTTTGATATTAGAGAAAAAAACAATTTTAATAGACACAGATACTGCGGTTTATGTTTAGAGTCCTTAAGGTTTTTCTTTGGTCAATTTATTCACTTTTTTTGAAGTTCATCAACAATTTATTTAGTCCCTAAGGTTAGATTTTCTGATAGGGCGTTCCAAAAATTTCCTACATTGTGTCAGCAGCTCAATGTCAGATGCAAGAACAGTAGTAGATAAAGATAATGCGAAATAAACTCACGTCCAAGATCGCAAGAAGATCGAAAATATTAAAACTACTTAGATGAAATGTAATGATTTAAATTTAGTCTGGCTTATTGTTTACGATCTGAAAGTCAAAGTCGGACTATTGACAGTGAATTTATCGAGCGGCGTCACAACACTAAACAAAGTTAACCTGGAGACAGGATTCGTTGCCCTTTCATTGGGGAACGACCTGATGTCATATTTCCTTGTTTTTCCCGTTTGATTCTACTAATTCTACCCGGTCGGCATAATGATTAAGGGAAGATTTTCAAATCTTGTCGTATAATTTAGGCACTTAGTTTCTACAATAAAGCTTCAACCACACCAACACGGCTCGATCATAGGAAAATGACAGGTCGCGTGAACTGTCATGGATGGACCTGCCATTGGCCTTTGATCGCGCCGGCGATGGCGATCTGCACGCGTTGGTGTGGTTGAAAAATAAAAGAAATTCTTCTGCAAATAGGTTTTTAAAGCAAGTGCTTACCTGACCTTCGCGATGTTAAAACCTGAGCTACTGGAAATTCTATCCAGACGCATATGGTGTATCATACTAAACGCTGTCGAAACTTTTAATTGGGGTCTTGGGACCACCATCATCATCATTTCAGCCATAGGACGTCCACTGTTGAACATAGGCCTCCCCCAATGATTTATATAATGACCGGTTGGTAGCGGCCTGCATCCAGCACTATGCTACCTTTATGAGGTCGTCCTTGGGATAGATAGGCCGTCCTCACAGACGCGGCTATTTGCATAAAAAATGTTTAGTGTTAAAAGACTTATCAACTCAGAAAGGGACCAAAACCGTTCCGCCTTTTGCGCGCTGTCAACCGCGAAGCAAGGCGTTTACGTTCCGTTGCGGATAAGTATGCGTTGCAGTATGGAGTTTCATACAAATAATATTGACCGCCTCGAGTTGATACGGTTACGATCCCTTTCCGGGCTAATAAATGTGCTACCTCCTTATGTATGATTTACTTATCTATAGAAGCAATTTGTCTTTCCATTTCAGATCCACAAACATCAGAGGCTTACTGCTAACGGGAACAGCGATCTTCACCACTTTTGGCACTCTCCTGGTCTATTCCACTGGTCCATACATTTCTTTCGCTGCCACCTCTTACATAGGTGTCGCTCTAACTGTGCTATACATAGTCGGAATTTGTTTAATTCCTGAAACACCAAATTTCTACGTTATGAAAGGTTGGTATGTAACTTAGAGCAATAGACCAATGAGGGCTATCGTTTTAGCGCTCACCAGTTGGTGTCACTGTAGGTAGAGTAAGGTCACTGTCACGCTCACCAGTTGGCGTCATTGTAAGTAGAGTAAGGTCACTGTCATTTGCTAGTGGCGAAGACAGTGTCCCACGCTGCGTTTTCCGGTACGCGGCCTCCACTCCAGAACCTTGCTGCCCCATCGGCCGTCAGTTCTGCGTAGGTACTATGTGCCCTGCCCATTGTCACTTCAGCTAATCCGTCGGGCTATGTCAGCGACTTCAGTTCGTTTACGGATCGACGACATCATAAAGGTAGCAGGAAAGCGGTAGCGGTTGACCGGGTAACATGGAAAGCATTGGGGGAGGCCTATGTTCAGCAGTGGACGTCCTATGGCTGAGGTGATGATGATGATGATGAAGACAGTGTCACCAACCAGTGAGCGCTGAAGCGGTAGGAGGACTATCGCACTTGCACTCACCAAGATGGCGTCGAGTCATGTCAGTCGCCAGTGGTGCCAACTGTTAAGTATAAAATTATAGCCCTCATTAATCTCGTAATTTCACTCAGATGATTAAAATAAGGTATACGTTTCATTAGACTACAAATTAAGTATTTTAAAATAATCATTTACTGAAGGTTACAGCATTCATTAAAGATTCAAGAATTTATAATTAATTAGTTAATAACAGATTTTACAAAGCAATTTTTAAAATACTTTGCTTGGTCTGTCAATTAATTGGCCTTTCAGAAAATAGCAAAAGTCAACTACATTTTAGTTATTAATTATTTCTCATACAGAAAACCCTTTGGATCCTCTACAAGGAGTCTACAGGGAATACCTCAATCATTCTTAATTTGTAGTAGTTGACGGGGATACGGGAAGTAAAGTGAATTTACACTTACTTGTACGATGCTTATCCTTCCGTGTTTGATAATTTAAACTTTTTCATAAGTCTATGGAAAACTTTGTAAAAACTTTGGTACAGTCAAGAAATTTACCTAATACTCACCAATTTCTTTGTTTTCAAACCATTACTTGAAGTACACATGCTATAATGATAGCTCAATGTATCATTTTTCCGTAGGATATTCAACCTTAAATGTCACAATGTTGACTGGACCCTCCTTCCTTGAAAATTAGAATAACCTCCAATGCAATATTTTTTAGCTTTGGGTTTTCCTTTTCAAACTAAACTGGATAGAACCCTTCCTCAACAGACATAAATTGTTAAGGACCGGATCTGCATTGTCTATCCACTAAGTAATATTATAAGTTTAAATTTTAGGACAAGAAAAACAAGCACAAGACACCCTCATATTCCTAGGCAGAGACAACGAAGTTAGCAACGTGCTGTCAACTAAAAAAGAAGAGGAATCTTTCGCCAATGAACTGAAAGAGTTATTAACCATCAAAGGAAACCGTAAAGCCCTCTCCATAACTCTAACCCTGAACATATTACAGCAAATGAGTGGAGTGGTGGTTGTAATCCTTTTTGCGACGAGAATCTTTGAGTTGGCAGGGTCGACGATACAGCCGAATCTAGCCACTATTATCATTGGAGTAACGCAGTTAGTTTCTAGTATAATCTGCTCCGGTTTTGTTGAAAGAGTCGGCAGGAAGGTGCTGCTGCTATGGTCTACTGCAGCATGTTTCTTGACTCTGGTAAGTTTCGTTATACTATTCATTTAAGAGATTCATGGCCGATTTAACCACCAGTCCCTAATTTTTAAGTGACCCCTAATGGTAACACATAACAGGAATTTTGTTTTCATAGGGGTCACTTAAACATTAGGGATTGATGGTGAAAACGGGCATAACAGTCTTTTTCAAAAACAGTTCTGTAATTATTTCTCCTGAGCAATTTCTTGTCCAGTGACAGTTAGATAATATAATTAATTACTAACTACTAATAAAAGATAACCTAGCTTTTACTGGTTGGGTATTTTTGATGGTCAAGCTGTCAGTCAAACCTGGCTATTCAGGATTTGCCTTAAATCTACTAGTGACTCATCTTTGCTCTCTTTTACTGATCTGACTGGTATTTTTTGTGGTCAAGCAGTAGATCCTGGCTGTACAGGAGTTGCAGTGTTAGAACTAGTGGGAATAGTCCCATTTTTTGTTGTTGCTGACCTGGGACTATAATCTCACCTTAGTAAACGTTATTGATTGTTGTTTTTATATCTTTCGAGACTGAACTTATCAATAACATGAATAAAGTGTATTAAAAGTTGTGTTTCTCTTTCAGTCAGTTTTAGGGACATACTTCTATCTGGACCACCTTCAGATTGACGTCGAAGTCATAGGATGGTTGCCGCTCGTCTGTCTGGTCATTTACTTCCTAGCCTTTGAACTGGGTAAGCAATTTTGTTGTAATTTATTCACAAGTTACATAAAGGACAATGTTCGTTCTCCATACATTGTTCGCCGTTAGATCAACAGTGCCGAAATAATACTTTCTAGGTTCTAAATGACACAAATCTTTATATAAGAACAATTATTCCTGGCGGACCAATTCTATAAACTTATTGATAGCAATATTGTTATCATAACCTCTTACTTACTAGTATTGTATTATATTATTTTATGCACATCGATTTGGGAGATGTTCTGTATTGTAGTTGTCGCAGCCAAATTGTATTATAATATTGGACGGGTTTTGGAAATAGCTCGGCGTTCCACTTTTATGATTTACTTACTTACATTTTGCACGTAAATAAATAACATGAATCCTATGTTTACTTTCCACTCTTGACATTTAACACGTGACTTACCAAACTAACTATCTCCATGGTTACCGTCTTAGTCTATGCATGACTAGGGATTGAACAACTTTTAATTGAATATTATTAACAATTCTCGATAATTATTATCGATTGAAAAATATTCGGTATTTGAATCGAAAGATATATTCAATTTTATCAATATCAAAATATTCAATTTTAATAATAAAATAAATATTATTTACTACCACCTATGAAATGTTCTAAAAATTGCCTGGAGCGCTCCCCCAATCCTGGGTTTTCCCTTTCCAAGCTGAGAGGATATCATTTTGGTTCTATCGATACATTATAAAGGTACTTAATATTTGAAATGTATTACCAATTATTGTTATAAGCATTTTGAGCGAATAAAACTTTCAATTCTATTAGAACTTTAGACATTTCTCTCACTTTAAGCGGCATTGGATTTTTCATCGAATTTTGAAACTGTAACAGATATATTAAAGATGATCCCATATTGTTGTCATTGTCTATATCAGTGTTATGATCACAATTCTTTTTATTTTATTCATGACCTTCGACCAGTTGGACACATTAGATAGCTTCTTGTAGTATCGTGCAATATATTTTTAACTTTTAATTAAAATCTAGTCATACTGTAGCAATTTGGACGATTTATTTTATTTACAAGATCGGTATCTTATTGTCTATGATGACCGCAGTCAACATCACTATTACATGGATTCCTAACAATGAAGTACGGCATTGCCTTGTGCCGATTTTACATAGATTTTATCGACACAAATTATGGAACTTCATAGGATATGGAGCAGGCCACGCCCTAAAATGTCCGGATGTCGTCATAGTGTTATGGAATACATATAAAATACTTTTATTATTTCATTTTTTAATCCTCAAGTGTCCGTTACAATCTAATTAATATTTAAGTATTCAAAAAGTAAGAGATTAATTTTGATACTTTACTGCTGTGCCCAGGAATCTAAGGCGGTTTCTGACAATGTCCTTTGAAAAATCGTTATGGCGAAGCCATTAAAGTAATTTTGACATTGAGTAATGTAGTACCTGCTCGAATAATACTCGTATTTAGTACAAAATTTATTCAAAAAGTTTTTAGTAAATGTTTATTCTTTCTTTCTCTCATTTTATACATCTTGTGAAATGGCTCCTAAAGATCAACCTGGCCTTATGAAATTTAATCCATTTCATTTAATTCAGGTCAAGTGATCTTTTTACAGCCCAAAGGGCCGCAGAATTAGATATTAATTTTTACTTGATTGACGCGTTCTTGTCTTCTTGTTTAGAAAAAGCTGGTAAAAGGGTTTTGTTGATAGACAGACCGGACAACGAAATGATCCTATACATGTACCTTTTCTTTTGAGGTAAAAACAGACTAACTATTATTTTCAATAAACACTTGAGCTGTCTACTTAAAGTCAGCAGGAACTTAAATGGATAAAAATCTCTGTTTGCTCTATGACTAGATAATATAAATCATATAATTAATTAATACTTCCAACTAATCTGTTAATATGATCGTTAATATTGTTTCATGATAATAATGACTAATTCACGAGCCAGAACGTATTCAATGATTATTTTGTTGATATTAACATTGATAATAATTCACGTGTAGTTAGCACGTGTATTATGTCACAGTCAAGACGTTGAATCAGCATTTAAGTACCCATATGGCTGTCCCGTTACATCATCATTATGGCTAATTCAAGAAAAAACTCGTCACGAATTATTGCACATTTTTGTATCATGTACTTTACTTACCTTTCGAACAGTAGTGGGGGTTCTATTCTGTCGTCGTTTCAGCCGAAAGACGTCCACTGCTGGACAAAGGCCTCCCCCAAGGATTTCCACGTAGATCGATCCTGCGCCGCTCCCATCCAGGCACCTCCCGCGACCTTCACCAGATCGTCGGTCCACCTAGTGGGAGGCCTGCCCACGCTACGTCTGCCGGTTTGTGGTCGCCAACTCAAGAACTATCCTGTCACAGCGGCCATCAGCTCTCTGAGCTATGTGCCCGGTCCTATTCTACTCTGCTAGAAACACTGAGCTTGCTTGTTTAATTTGAAACCAGTAATAATGTTCTTGAATGAACTAGGCTCACAGTTACTTTTAGAAACGGTAGTTAGCTAGTTTCCTAAAATTTTACTTTTACTCCGTCAATTAATCATAAAAAATATTGAATACCTACGTATATTTTTATTTGTTAATCAAACAAGTAATTACGAAGTTATGGTGCGTTGAAGCTCCACGTGAAGTCAGAAAGTGATACACTTTTAAGCACTTCTTGACTTCACGGGTCTCTTCTTTTGAACTTTGGCGCGCTTTATCTCTTTTCATTTTCATAAGTTTGAAAAAGTGAAAAATACGTGAGGAGTATTTTCGATAAGTTAACTGACGGACTAATTCAAATTCTTGCATTTTATAAATATCGCTATTGTTGGTATTAAGAAATACTTAACTACTTTCAGATCTATCGGTTCAAAATCAAAATTATCTTTATTTGTGTCGACTAATTAAATTAGTATCGTATTGTTACAAATCGTCAAATGCTCTTAAGGAGCCTATACATGTCTCATTCTTTTTTGCCCTACCAGCGCTTCGAGACAAACATTTGGCAAGTGCTGAGAACAACAAACTCAGTCACCACTGTCTGCCGGTTTAAAAATGTAAAAAAAGTAGGAAGTTACAATACATTCAGAAACAAGTTACTTACCACGCGGGAACGCGTAGTTGATAGGAATTAGAGTAATTGTTAATTACCTATACTATTCTTTTTAACTATAGTAAACAAGGGCTTCTTTTTCCAGGTTTCGGCATCATCCCCGGCACGTTCACCGGCGAAATGTTCCGCAGTAACGTCCGCAGCACCGGTTCGGCCATCACCATTACCGTCGCCTGGCTGTTCGGCTTCGGCCTTTCGTCCGCGTTCGGCTACATGATCGAGGCGATTGGCGGCCATTTTACCTTCTGGATCTTTGGTGCGGCGTGTCTGATCGCGTTTGTGTATACGATATTCTTTGTGCCCGAAACCAGGGGCAAGACTTTGGTGGAAATACAGGAGATGCTGAACTGATGATCTTTTGGTTAGGATATACTATCCGTTCGCGATAAGTTTGCCGCTGGCGATATGACGTCACTCGAAGGAAAGCGTCTATAACTAGGTATAGCAAACTTTAATGAATTGAAAAAATTGTGTATTTGCGTAAAATAAGACACATTAATTGCATTTAATCACTAACTAATTGCGTTTAATCGCGGTTGGGGGAGGGGACGCGCATTCCACAGACCGGCAAACTTAGCGCGAACGGGTAGTAAAGCAGTTTTGTGAATTATTTATTTGTCTAACATTGACTTTATGTATTATAACACTTTTGATAATATTTTTAATACTTTATCTATATCTATGGAAGCAAAAGGTAATTGACTCATTCACTTATCACGAAATCTCGGAAACTACAAGTCTCAAATTTTGTATGGCGTTCCTTTTAGAACGTAGGTGCTCACTAAGACGGGATTGTACGAAACTCCACCCCTAAGGGGGTAAAACGAGATCCACGCGTACGAAGTCGCAGGCGGCCACTAGTATTTAATAAAAGTTAATGCTTGTTACAAACTGGTCATCAGAAAGGCTTCCTTTATTATTTAAGTTTAGAAGTGAGATTGATTGTTCCTGACTTATTTAATTTTTTATTTATGTATTTATTTGATTTTATTGGCAGTTGCCACTTTACTCTTGTGAAATAAAGTCATAAATAATATCATCTCTTAGTTTCAATTAGATTTGATATCCTCATATACTTCCATTTAACCGCCTCTGTGGTCTAGTGGTAAGACCACCTGCTTCAGACGCAGAGGTTCAATTCCCAGTGGGGGCAGATTATTCTGTTCGGTTTGGTTGGTGGTATGGCTTGTTCTAAGTCCGCCTGGCTAGTTACCACCATCTTACCTAAGTCTGTCGCCATAACAACAATGTTAACAGCATTGTTGTGTTCCGGCAGTTAGAGGCAAGATAGCCAGTTACTCGGTGGTTGAGGATTCCGGGTGAAGCTAGCTTCCACTTTCGGCCTGATCATTACTTACCATCAGGTGAGATACAGGCCAAGAGCTTTCTCGTTGTGAATAAAAAAATACAGATGCACTGTCAAATTTTATTCTGACCTAAGGTAAACGGCTACTAGTTCGTGATAGTACGTAAGTTCGTAAGTTTTTTTTCTAGCTCCAATAATAAGCAAATGGAATATTATTTATAAAAATTCTTCATTACTACAAAAACTCTATTATTTAAGCTATCTAAAAAACCAAGTACCAACATCGTGGCGCCAAAAATGAGAGCAATACGAAGCTTCAAACTCTCAGAGAGCCAAAAACAGCCGTGCGGCTTGCAAAGGTTGCTCTCACCGTAAGGTTAGCGCTCCAACTTCTTAAGCTTATAAAAAGGCGAAGGAACGTCCATTTAAATAAAACTTGTAATAGTGGTTTCATGTATTCCTTGACAATTGATTTGGCTTAGAAAAAAGTTATATGAAAACGTAGAATTCCTTTAAAATTGCGATTAATTGACTCACGAAATAGCGTACATATTATTTTTCGGGTGTCCCCTATTTCGTGACACTACCGATTCAAGGATATTATGGATAACATTTTGATGGTTTGTTTTTAAATAATTATTTATGATAATTTAAATGTAATTTATGAAACAAATAATGCATTTATTTAAGTTTCTCATGACCTAAATTCGGTATATGTTTCGTTCACTAGAATTTATATGACACGAGTTTGAAGTTCACATAGGTATATAACCAATTTTAAGATAAATTAGCATAAGTAGTACCAGCATAATTTTGGTTTTATTTCGATTNGGGGGGGGGGGGCTACCCTCACTTGAAACAGCTCCAGGGGCGGGATTATGGGGAGAAGGGGGGGCGAGGGGTTACAAATAACATCAAAATTTTATGGCTACGAAGAGGGGGGGGGGGGGTAAGTCCCCCACATTTCTAATGGTTATATAAATATTTTCACATATCGCTAGAAATAACAAATTTTATGGGTACGAAGGGGGGCGGGGGGGTTAAGTCATCGTCCCCCCTACATTTCTAATGGTTATAAAATATTTTCACATATTGTTAGAATTAACAAATCAAAATATTATACTAGACTCACATTATTTCTTATGAATATTTTAGGTAAGTAATATCGTCAATTTCACATAATTATTTTATTCTAAATTTTTATTATCGTTTTCAAATTTATTGAACCCTTAATCATTATTAAAATATCCTAACTGGATGCATAAAACCTTATTCCGAAATAGGGGACATGAGTTCACGAACTTAGAAACAGAGCAAAATTTTGTCACGAAACAGGATCCAAACAGGACCTCTTGTTTAATATAAAAAAAACAATTGTGTTGTGCAGAACAATTAATATAAAAAAAAGTTCAAACTATATAACTATAAATTATGTATTAACTTACTGTCAAAAGACCAAACTTTAGCATACAAAAGCTTTCATACTGATATCATGCTTGGTTATTTTTAAATAAAATGTTAAAGTCGTAAGAGCCTTAATATACCGAAGTAGGGGGCACTTACCTTAATCATGATAATTAGTATTGAATAATACGTCACATCAGGAAGTTTATACTCATTCGATATAACTCAATACCGACCTTTTATCGATAGATAAGCGATAAGATTACTGATTAATCACTACTCCGTATTTACTTTTGGTTTTTATAAGCAACTTTAATTTGTTCATATTTGCATTTATACACATATTTTGACTGACATTAATGGTGAATTTAATTTATCTATAGTAATTAAACTCTCCTTATCCCGGTTCATCAATTTTGCTACTAAAACATTGTCAGATACAGAGATGCAAAATTACCATATCTCTCGAACGAGGAAATGCGGCTTAGGCTGGGTACACAATATAGGGTAGTCAGTCCAAACAAGACTGCGATTCTTAATTCCGATAGAATAGAAGAATAGAATAGAAATAGACTTTATTGAACACAGTAAGCACAAATTATAAACAATAACAACACAAAACGAATAAAGAAAATAGTGGGCCACTGTGTCAATAGGTTCCCGCTCAGCATTTATCCTGACATGCTCGTAAGGGCATGTCACGAAACTGGTCTTCCGCGAGAGCCCTTGTTGTGGCTTCGCGCATCCCTTCGGACAGACATCGACTCGAGTTCGATAGTTGCAACCTTGATTTACTTTAACTACCCTTTAAAGAATGCTATTCTTCCATCAGTGGACCGATGGTGAAGGTCGCGGGAAGCACCTGGATGAAGGCAGCAGGACCGGTCGTTGTGGAAATCTTTGGGGATGCATTTGTCCAGCAGTGGACGTAATTTTAAGATGACCGAACTGTAAAAACATTATAATAAGACCCATTTCAATGGGTCTAAAGAATTCTGTTCATTTCAATGGGTCTGAAGGTTCAAGAATTTTATTTTTCAAAACAGAATTCTTTTTGGAAGCAGATTTCGTAATAGATAATGCCAGACTGAAATTCACGCGGGCAAACCGCAGGCAAAAGCTAAATGCCTAAATTGCTAATCTGTGTGTAACTAGCTCAAACCATGACCGCATCTCGTGTGCTCACTGCTCATATCATACCCAGCGGGAATCTAAATAATTAAACGTCGATTGTATGCACAGTTATTAATTCTTATGGCCGTTCCTATTATTATGAACAGAGGCAGTAGGATCAGTCAGTCTTTATTTGATAATAATCTTTTTGATGTAGCAAGCGGCAAGCATACTCGTAATGTTGGATGTCCTCAATTGCTCCAAAGAAGCTGGACGTGACAAGCCTAAGACAGCGTCAAAAATATAGAAATAGAAATAGAAAATATTTATTTGTCTAAAAACAGGTTCTTCTTCTCACGGTACACTCTTGTCAGAGTGGTCGTGGTCATCATTGTGAATCACGATGAGTGATGTTCCTCGCAATACCGCGCCATTCCTCGCGGACTGCCGCTTTCCGGGCACTTTCGCTAACCGAATACTTTAAGCTAAGTTGCACCACCTAATTTTGACCGTAACTTTGACGATAACCGGTGGTTTTGGTATGGAATTTGACACTTTTTTGACGTTTGTCAAAGTTAAAGTAAGATGGTGCAACCCAGCCTTAGTTGCGGCCTTGATCTGGTCCGTCAAAACAGGTTAACAAGTTAAAAATAAGGCAAGCAGTGAAGCCAACAATACAAAGCTTCTTCCATGCTAAGTAATAGTATTTAAATCAAAGATGCAATGGCTAAATAATGTAATAATAAATAATAATAATAATTGTTAATCCTTATGTCGCTGTTTACGAGGGTCATATTTTATTATTATAATGACGATGGAAAATTTCTAACAGTCAATCTGGCCGCACAATAAAATGAGTGGGCTTACTCAAGCTGCGTTTATTGTGACTCCATTGGATGGATATCATTTGAACAAAGGCATTAAGAAGATTGCATTCACAGACAAGGAAGAATTAGATTTTAGATTGGAAATGTCAGGCTTAGACACACTTTGACTATTTTGAATATGCCTCTTAATAAATTCTCTCTATCAAGAGTGTTTGATACCCAAACGAGAGACAAAATTTAAAAAATACTTGAAAATTGTTGCCTAGATTAAAAACGATATAAATATTGTTCCTTATTGACATTGATACTACAAAATTCAACTACTTAGTACTATAATCCGTTAATTGGATATCTTGGATTAAATTGTGAAGACATTGTCATCCCAATAACTTAAGCTATTGGCTTTAAGCTTAACCCTTTAATCCTGTATCTTCTCGTTCTCGAAATAATATTTTCTACAGAGTGCAGTCAAAATAATCCATCTTATAAGCCACAACGTGTCTCGGAATAATGAAGGAGAAAATTAGAAAATGCAAACAAAATTAAGGTTTAAAGGACTAATCCCACCTTTTGTTCCCACCCCTGAAAATCTTGTGGAATCTACAGCTTGACCTCTTAATAAACAACCAGTGAAGGTCAAGTTTGTCCCAGGGGAAAGTTTAACTATCATTGAAAACTCATGTTGCTCAGAATAAAATAAGTAGAGAAAGGAAGAGCAACTATAAGATAAGGAGCATCGATATTTTTTCCTTTTCCTTTATTTATTAAAACGGGAGGGTTCTTTGAGACGTTAAACGTGAGCAAGACTTCAGATTATGCTTCAGTGGCCTATAAGTCTATCCAATATAGCTTGATTAGAATGACGGCTGTCAAACGAATGTGACTAGTGATGTGTATGTTTCGTACGGTTCACATAGATGTATCGATAAGTTTTCTAAAAAATGATATGAAAAAATGCACCCAATTTTTCTTCATATATCTTTATTCATTAAAAGGACAATTATGATTTAAATTTAAAGACAGTAAACCTGAGTAGATGTACAACCTAAGTCGTAGTCATTACCATCAGTGTTCTTCAGTGGTTTTTTCCTCTCGCTAGAAGGCGGTGGGCATCTCTTCTAGAGCAACGGTGCTATGAATACCCAAAAAATTACCGGTGATTGATTTCCGATGTTTGATTATTTAAGAATGAAATGGTTTTTGGTTTTTAATAGTGAACATTTAGAAAAACGTATAACTTGACTTAAATATGTTAAGAAATTTGTTAGAAAAAAAAATTGTTAAATATGTTAAAAGAATAGTTTTAATTTAATATGCCATTTGTCGATATGTCCCAACACTAACATTTTTGTAACTCGAGATAACCTTGTAGAGACGTCGTTAATACTCTAGCTTGATTTTTATGATTTCGAATTACTACTTATTAGTGTAATTTAACGCTGCATTTACACGAAATTATCATTTTTATTGGAAGCACTGTCGTCGAAAATATTGTTTGTAGGTCAGACGTGAATTATTTCTTGTTCGCCAATATTTAGCTCTCATTGATCGCTACTACAAAGTTATGTCGTTACTTTTGATGACAGCTGTCATTCTAATCAAGCTATATTGGATAGACTATAATTCACGTATTTTGACAGTCAAGATCTCGCTGACGTTCAGAAGTCGTCCCATTGAAAAACAGTTCTAAATCCGTACTCATAAGGGTCATTTTGATAGAACGATTACTCGATAGGATCGCAACTCAGTGTTTTGTTGTCGTTGAAGTTTTGTTACGTGAATAAGGCTACAGATTTGTATGCTCTGTCACGTCATAATATGTCAATGTCAATTCTCCCGTGCCTCTCCCATACCTCAGGCACTGACTGAATTAAGCGCAAGACATATACATACATTGTATTCTCCAAACTTCAAAATATACTCACAGTACAATCAATTGTCAGGTTTTCACTCTTTTTCGACAATTCTTTCGATCAAATAAATCTGGATACTACGCTCTCTCGATAAGGCAGATCTAAAATAACTCTTCGAATGCACGCCAGTTATTCTAGGTTAAACCTCTATATCCAGCGATCGGACAGAGGGACCTATGTCGACTTTTTATAGACAGTGTTTTGGTTCTATCATAAAAAGGTAATTCTTGAAGCCATTTAAAAGTACAAGAAATGGCTTTGAGACGTGGATTGTAAGTCATACGTCTCGTAAATAGGCTAAAACTAATATACTCAGCTACTTACTTCATTGTTATAAATAGCATCTATTACTATAAACTAAAGTACTCACTGTAGAAGCATGACCCTCGCCTATTTACCAGAGTTATAGAGGATTAGCTTTCCGCCCGCGGCTTCGGCCGCGTGGAATTTTGTCTGTCACAGAAAACTTTATCGCGCACGTCCCTGTTTCAAAAACCGGGATAAAACTATCCTATGTCCTTTCCCGGGACTCAAACTATCTCTATGCCAAATTTCATCAAAATCGGTTTAGTGGTTTAGGCGTGAAAGCGAGACAGACAGACAGAGAGACAGACAGACAGACAGACAGACAGACAGACAGACAGACAGACAGACAGACAGACAGACAGACAGACAGACAGACAGACAGACAGACAGACAGACAGACAGACAGACAGACAGACAGACAGAGAGACAGACAGACAGAGAAACAGAGAGACAGAAAGACAGAGAAACAGACAGACAGAGAGACAGACAGACAGAGAGACAGACAGACAGACAGACAGACAGAGTTACTTTCGCTTTTATAATATTAGTAAAGATTTGGCCTACTCTCCCCACGCTATCAAGAAGAGTTCTGATGTTCGCATATTTAATTTTATCCCTTATTCACCTTTTACAACAACCACCACGGGAAAAGCCATTGGGCTTTTACAACATTTATGCCCGTATTCACAAACATAACTATGAGGTCTCACAGTGCGGGTGAACGCGCAGGGTGACACACGAACTAATCATAGAGCTCTATTCAACGCTATGCGTTCGATTAGCTGCTTCACTTAAGCAAACAACGTTTGTAAATACGGGCGTAAACCTGTTTCTAATTTTATGGCGATTCCAATCGCAATGGCAGTTTCTATTAAGTCTCCAAACTTCGAATGTGATACTTCGAATAACGATCCACGTTTAGTTCGAAACCGAGGACGGATTTACGGTTTTCAGTTTCGAACTCAAAACTAATGGTATGTTAAAGTAATGCAATTGCTCAGAATAGTTTGGAAATTGACTTCCAAATGCTTCTACATTTCAAAAGCTTAAAATAAAGTTAACCTTAAAATATCTTCAAACTAAGAAATAAGCATAATTAATAGCCACGATAGCCGAACGGTCTGGGGTCGGACTGGCCGACTCGAGATCCGAGGAACGCGGGTTCGAATTCCACCGCCCGCTCGACTATTGTGGTGAGCCCACTCGTAACACAAGCTTATTTTTGTGCTTAGGCGCTTTTTTGGTCACTGTGGCGCGAATAGTCAAGTTACATGCCTGATTTTTTTATTATTATTAGATGAATACTAAGCCTAGCTGATTCAGAAGTATTTACATCCATAACACGAATATAAACTAAAAATCCTGTATGTTGTAAATAAAATCATAACTCGAAAACTACCAAAACTCGCGGTGAGTCGGGTAGCCCTAGTGATGCTCTACCTCTGGGCTTCGGCTTGACACTACTTTTTGGGACACTCTGTATATAAAAAATTTAAACTTTTGCGTTCCATTTCAACTAAAATCGAGAAACGGGTCTCAACGCGACATTTTTATATGTTACATTATGTACTCACGGCTTGACCATTCGGCTGCTATGCTGTACCCGTGGTCAGTATCAGGTGGTCAAGTCAAGAAGCCAGTCTGCTTGTGACCACGGCTACAGCGTAGCAACCGAAACATCAAGACGTGAGTACATAATGGACAAACTTATAAAAAAAAACTAGCTGACCCGGCGAACTTTGTTCCGCCTTAATGGCAATAAATAAGCAGACTTTTTTTTTATTTCGAACGGGATAAAAAGTATCCTATGTCTTTTTCCTGGCTCTAAACTACCTCCCTGACAATTTTCAGCTAAATCGGTTCAGCCGTTCTTGAGTTATAAGTGGTGTAACTAACACGACTTTCTTTTATTATATAAAAGAAGATGACGCGTTGAGCGCCGTGTTTCTCTATTTTAGTTGTTTAAAAAACTCGAAGCTGTTTCTTGGGGTTAATCTACATTATTTACAGAAGCTTTATTTTATCCACCATCTGGACTAGTATGCAAATGGACACCGCTGATAATATTCCAGTTTTACGATAGTAAACCTTGTTGTTTACGTGATAGGGCTTATTTAGTGGATGGGCAGACTCAGGTAACTTATACAATGCAATAGAGGTCATGTTTGCGAAGCCTTTATTTTATCTTGCGACTAAACTAGACGCGTAAGGCTTGTTGTCCAGTAATAGGGTAGGGTAAGAGTACCTATCAAGTTTTTTTTTTTTTCATTTATTATCATTTTACAAAGGAAGTTCTTAAACATATTACAATTAAATGCATTGGCATAAACCACTGAGGTTTGTTTGCAATGCTTGATGCGGTCAGTCTATTAAATTAGTAATCAAACAGTTGCGTTCTACAAAGAAACAAAGAAAAAACATAATAAAAGTTACAATTTTCATAGATAGGCATCCCTGTCGAGCCGATTTACCAAGAGGTTACTATATAATTTGTTCGTATAAGTCGTACCCATACTAGGCAAATGCATTTCCGCTATGAAATATGTTCCAGAAAAAACGACCTTAGCTTGGACTTAATGTTATTTTCATTTAAATTATCTTTTAAAGTAGCGGGTAGTTCGTTAATAAGTCGCGGAACCAAGTACTGCGTCGTTCGCTCACCATACACATTCCGAGCTTGTGTTGTCTGTAGGCGCTCACGGGCAATAGCACGAGTAAATACCGGGTGTTCTACTTTCTTACGAAATGTTGTATTAAAATATTGTTCTTTTAAAATGTTATACTTGAATCGGAGTTGAACAGGCAAAACTTTACAGTGATTAAATATTCCAGTTTCATTATCCTTAAATTGTTCTCTAATTACGTTAGAAACTATTCGTTTTAATATTCTTAGTTGAAGCTTGTGAATGTTGTTTAAGTAACTGTTGTAAGAGCGACCATAACTACTTAAGCCGTACTGGATATAGGATTCAGCGAGCGAGTTTTATAGGGTTAATTTAACTTTGTATGGGATACGATCTTTTAGGATACACACGTTGGCCAGGAACTGCCTCATTGGGTATTTCACGTTCTTTTGATTTGTGATTTCTTAGTGTAAAATGCTTAAATCTAAAAATTTTCTCAGATAACTATTTGCCCAAGGATCTATGCTATAGGATATATATGTTTGTTAAATCGTTTTCACAGTGTTTTTATAAAAATTTCAGCTTGTAAACTGACGCTAAAGTGGAAATTTACAAAACCTGTGTGGACTTATCTGGATAGAATTCTTAAATGCTAAACTAATCGCAATATTTTCTCAATTAACTATTTAGACGACGAAATTGTCTAACTATTTATGCCTATAATAATAATAATAATAATAAAACGTTTATTTCAGACATTACGTATCCATAACATATTTGTAGTATTACTGGTTAATGATTGTAACGAGTTGAAAAAGTACTGTTTTTGCGCCAAACGGCGTAAACGCTCTTAAAACAGGGTTCAACTATTGTGTTTACTTTTATTAATAAGGGGGCATACTCATACGAAAGAAAGCAGTAAAAATAAAGCCAAAAGCAGTAGCATAATTTTTATGAATTTAATAAACCTTTGTTTACAGACGACGACTCCAAAAGCGTGGGCGGTTTATCAACCGATTCAAGCGGCTCCCGGCAGACTACTCCAACCCATCGGCCGCCTGTCATGAGCATCGCCAGCCACCTGCGCGACCCGCCGCCTACCCCTACTTCGCTGGGCGACGCCGACTCGTTGTCCCTGAATGAGACTGGTGAGTGCCATTGTCTGCTGACACAGCGGCTCCCATGGTTTTGACGCAGAACGTCATATGTACGCAAAATGTCATCGCGAAAATTTTGACTTTCACAGGATGTCACTTTCGCAAAAGGCCTCTTCGCAGTGTAGTTCAATTCCCAAGTCCTACTTTGGACTTGGAAAGTGCTTTTTTATCCACGACGACTAAGCTCTTGAACGGCATCTCACTTGATTGAAAGTGATGAACAGGGTGAAGGTGAAAGCGAGCTTCACAAGGAATCCGCAAACACAGACTAACTGATAGATAAGATAATATGACCTCTAACTGCCGCAACATAACAATAGGCTAGTTGCCTAAAAAAATTTTTTTAGTCCGTAATGTTTAATATCAAAAAATATTGGACACGTATAATTTTATTTGTCAATCTAACAAATAATTACATAGTTATGGTGCGTTGAAGTTGCGCACGACGTCACAACGTGCGGCATTTTTAAGCAAGCGTTGACGTCACGGGCCTCTTCTTATGAACTTTGGGGCGCTTTATCTCTTTAAATTTTCATTAGTTTGAAAAAGTGAAAAATACGAGTAGAGTATTTTTTGATAAGTTAACTGACGGACTAATTAAAACTCTTGCTTTTTGACCCAGGCAACATCCCCATTGTTCCCTGCACGGATGCTAGTTCGTCAGCTGTTAACTAGTTGCGTTCAAACGCATATCTCAATACTAGCTTTCCGCCCGCGGCTTCGCCCGCGTGGAATTTTGTCTGTCACAGAAAAACTTTATCGCGCGCGTCCCTGTTTCAAAAACCGGGATAAAAACTATCCTATGTTCTTTCCCGGGACTCAAACTATCTCTGTGCCAAATTTCATCAAAATCGGTTGCGAGGTTTAAACGGGAAAGCGTAACAGACAGACAGACAGACAGAGTTACTTTCGCATTTATAATATTAGTTGGGATATTCTTTGTTCTTTCAGTAATGCGCGACGAAGAACCCCTAATGGAGACCTACGAAGCTGAGCGGCTAGTGTCAGAGAACCTGATACAGCTTGAGGAGGACTTCCAGAGGCTCGGGGTCAGCCAGGAGAAGCCCGCCGCCAAGCCGGCTGACCTGGAGCCCGCCGACGACTCGCCCATATACTTCAGGTGACACGCGACACTCGCCTCTATTACTATGCAGGCTAGTGTCAGAACCCGACGCAGCTGAGGACTCCAGAGGCTTGAGGTCAGCCCCGGGGTTATTGTTTATTTATTTTATTGATTACTAGCTGACCCGGCGAACTTTGTTCCGCCATAATGGCAATAAATAAGCAGACTTTTTTTTATTTCGAACGGGATAAAAAGTATCCTATGTCCTTCTCCTGGCTCTAAACTACCTCCCTGACAATTTTCAGCTAAATTGGTTCAGCCGTTCTTGAGTTATAAGCGAAGTAACTAACACGACTTTCTTTTATATATATAGATATGGTCGTCACTGTGTTGAAGTGGGGAAGGCACAAGAGATTGGCCGCCAGCGTACCGCTTCACTTTAGCCCGAGCGCTTGACTGCGATGGATGCTCTTTTGACTAAAGGATTGTGACAATAATTGTGACCTAGATTTTTGTTCATAGGCATATTTATTTGTAGTATTATTTGTACCATGAACTGCTTCTATCGATGAACTGTACTCATGTATATTAATATTATATTCTTGTGCTACTTTTAAGTATTATGTGTGATGTCTTACTACAACAAATGTTTCTTTTGTGGTGCAGACGGGTGGTGTTTTCCCCCGAAGTGCCGATCCGGCTGGACTACGTGGGCAAGCGGGTGGACCTCTCCGCGGGGCCCGTTGCTGGCCTGCTCATGGGCCTGGGCCAGCTCAACTGCTCCGAGCTCACGCTCAAGCGGCTTGACTACAGGTAACGTTATAGAAGTGACAGAAGTGAAGCGCCCCTTGTCTTGCTGTAGTTGTATATTTTGCTCAGAAGTGATAGAAGTGAAGCGCCCCTTGTCTTGCTGTAGTTGTATATTGAAGCTACAGAAGTGAATCCCCCTTGGTTTGATGATACTGTAACTTAAGCAGTGAAACGTTCCCTGGCTTACTGTAACATACAGCGATTAAAATGAAGCACCTCCTGGCTTGCTGACACAGAAATGAAGCGCACCTTGGCTTGCTATACACGGTGCAAGTAAAGAATTGAAGTGAAGGGGCTTCCTGACATGGCAGACATAGAAGTGACGCGCCTCATTGCTTGATGCCGATTTGCAGCGACGAGAAGTGAAGCCCCTTACTCTATTTTGGTTTCCGCGCAGCTATAGGCAGACCGCGTAACTGAATTCTTGCATGGTAAGACGAAAACGTGGACCGAGAAAAGTGCGGGGGCAGGGATGGTTATCGATAACTTGTGTTGACAGTTGCGGTCTCAACTGAGTTGGCAAAATAGTGTCGTCATTGCCTTGTATTGTATTCGCAGGCTGGGGCTCCTCGGACTTGAGAAGCTGGTGCAGTGGGCGCTGCACGAATGGCTGGCGGACGTCAAGCGGCACCAGCTGCCCGGCCTGCTCGGCGGCATCGGGCCGATGCACTCGCTGCTGCAGCTTAGTGAGTATATGCTTAGGCTGGCAGTTATTTCGGTCAACCAATAAGACTGGCCATACAACAACGTGGCAATGCACCATTGATTTTGATTTTTTTATTTCGAAATTAAAAGAGTTTTTACCAGTAAATCGTTGAAACCTGCATACTCGCTATAAAGATACTTTAACTACAAAGGCTAGAACTTTCTATAGCTCTCTTTATCTTTCTCTTTTTTCTATAACTATGTGAAACAGTTCAGGCTCTACCTCAGAATCATTGAGCTATCCAGTATTAAAATCCAAAATCTTATTAGTTATTACGGTTACCTTTAGTGTCGTAGTCTATTTTTTTAATTCTGTACGTTCATGCGATATAATTTGTCCACTGCAGCTTCTTTTGCTGTTTTGTTTTGTGTTGTTAACTACTACTCGTCCTCCGCGAAGACACCCCCAATTCCTTCTATCTAGTAAACTGACTATCTGGCACAATATTTACACTTTTTTTCTTCGCCAGTAACTGGAATCCGTGACCTGGTGTGGCTACCAGTGGAGCAATGGCGCCGCGACGGCCGGCTGGTGCACGGCCTGCGCCGCGGCTGCGCCTCGTTCACGGCGCGCACCGCCGTCGCCGCGCTCGACATCACCACGCGGCTGCTGCAGCTGATACAGGTGACGTCACTGTTGTCGCCAGTCCCCGCCAGTCACTGGCATCCGTGACTTTGTGTTGCTGCTGGTGGAGGAATAGCGGCATGTACGACTAGCACTGCCGTCGCCGCGCTCGATATTACTCGTCGTTTTTGGTGAAACAGCAAGTGTGCTAAAACCATTCGGATATAATCTGCGACGCTAGCGAAGCGACGATAGAACGGTGAAGGTATCAGATTATTCGACTCGCGATTCGATGAACGCGGGTTCGATCCCCGCCGCCGCTCGACTATTGTGGTGAACCCAGTCATACCACAAGCATATTTGGCTTACCATGAGGGGTTAGCGGGATTTTTTGTAATTTGTATTTACATCGTGATTTGATTATGACATGGGTGTTACTATGTATAATATGTATGTATTTACAAAAAAAGTAGGTATTTAAGTATGTTTATATCCGTTGTCTAGTGCCCATAGTAAAAGCTTTGCTTAGTTTGGGACTAGAAGCGTAGTGTAAAATGTCCAAGGATATTTATTATTATATCGTGCTACGCATTCTAGTCTAAATGGTTGAAATACCGCTCGAATTCTAACATGGTATTAATGTTACTGTTATTACAGGCGACAGCAGAGACAGCATTCGACATGCTGAGTCCCGGGCCGACGCTGCAACTGCAGGCGGCGTACGACAGCCGCCGGCGCCGCCGCCGCGACCCCTCGCGACACCCCGCAGACATCCGCGAGGGCGTGGCCACCGCCTACCAGACCGTCAGGGAGGTCAGTCCCTTGCTACAGCTGCTGTAGTGAGACAACGCCGCGTGGCGCCAGCTGCAGGCGGCGTACGACAGCCGCCGGCGCCGCCGCCGCGACCCCTCGCGACACCCCGCAGACATCCGCGAGGGCGTGGCCACCGCCTACCAGACCGTCAGGGAGGTCAGTCCCTTGCTACAGCTGCTGTAGTGAGACAACGCCGCGTGGCGCCAGCTGCAGGCGGCGTACGACAGCCGCCGGCGCCGCCGCCGCGACCCCTCGCGACACCCCGCAGACATCCGCGAGGGCGTGGCCACCGCCTACCAGACCGTCAGGGAGGTCAGTCCCTTGCTACAGCTGCTGTAGTGAGACAACGCCGCGTGGCGCCAGCTGCAGGCGGCGTACGACAGCCGCCGGCGCCGCCGCCGCGACCCCTCGCGACACCCCGCAGACATCCGCGAGGGCGTGGCCACCGCCTACCAGACCGTCAGGGAGGTCAGTCCCTTGCTACAGCTGCTGTAGTGAGACAACGCCGCGTGGCGCCAGCTGCAGGCGGCGGACGACAGCCGCCGGCGCCGCCGCCGCGACCCCTCGCGACACCCCGCAGACATCCGCGAGGGCGTGGCCACCGCCTACCAGACCGTCAGGGAGGTCAGTCCCTTGCTACAGCTGGTGTAGTGAGACAACGCCGCGTGGCTCCAGCTGCAGGCGGCGGACGACAGCCGCCACCGCCGTGACGACAGGCGTCAGTCATCTTGCTATAGCGATATAATACCTTAATGACGATGACGACGACCCCTAGATAAGTTTTCTTTCGGCAGCGAAGGGCAGTCGTTGGGCAGGCAGTCAGTGAATATGAGACATTTCTGGTAAAATGGACGGTGACAATACCACTCGCAGTTGCTCCTGAAATGTCTCGTCTCAAAAAACTATCAAACATCATTCAGTTATGAATGAGTTAGTTTTATCCATGTTTATTTTAGGCTCGCGTTATTTCTGCAGTATTTGTTACCGGCTTTTCATTGGAAAACTGAAAACCATAGTCAAAAAGGCAGAATTGTAAGTAAAACGGCAATTGTCACAATTGTTTGGCAATACAAATACATGGTGTGGTTTTGTAAAACAACGCCCATCTCAGAGGTGGTAGTAGTATACACGACACTGATGCCAAAAAAAAACCTTAAATGGTCATGGAAAAATCCATGAAATCAGGAAAATGGTATTATTACGCGGGTGAGCTATCAGTCCCGCGTCGCGGCCGCATGTGCTCGGTGGTGTAGCTGGGTACGCTTGAGTAAGATCTTGCAGGTTCAAGACGTTTTATCCAGTTGACTAAAAACTAACACACTGTGTTTTCTTCAGGGCTTCGCTGAGACGGCAGCGACGATGGCGCTAGCCGCTAGGTGTGAGAGCGGCGTGGGCGTGCTCCGCCACCTGCCCGGCGCCGCCGTCACGCCGCTAGCGCTGGCCGCCGCCGGCGCCGCCGACCTGCTGGGCGGCGTGCGGGCCCACCTCGCGCCGCACCACGCGCGCGACCACGCCGACAAGTGGCGCCCCTACGCGCCGCCCTCAGGTAGACACACTACAACTAGACAAGTCACGCCGCTAGCGCTGGCCGCCGCCGGCGCCGCCGACCTGCTGGGCGGCGTGCGGGCCCACCTCGCGCCGCACCACGCGCGCGACCACGCCGACAAGTGGCGCCCCTACGCGCCGCCCTCAGGTAGACACACTACAACTAGACAAGTCACGCCGCTAGCGCTGGCCGCCGCCGGCGCCGCCGACCTGCTGGGCGGCGTGCGGGCCCACCTCGCGCCGCACCACGCGCGCGACCACGCCGACAAGTGGCGCCCCTACGCGCCGCCCTCAGGTAGACACACTACAACTAGACAAGTCACGCCGCTAGCGCTGGCCGCCGCCGGCGCCGCCGACCTGCTGGGCGGCGTGCGGGCCCACCTCGCGCCGCACCACGCGCGCGACCACGCCGACAAGTGGCGCCCCTACGCGCCGCCCTCAGGTAGACACACTACAACTAGACAAGTCACGCCGCTAGCGCTGGCCGCCGCCGGCGCCGCCGACCTGCTGGGCGGCGTGCGGGCCCACCTCGCGCCGCACCACGCGCGCGACCACGCCGACAAGTGGCGCCCCTACGCGCCGCCCTCAGGTAGACACACTACAACTAGACAAGTCACGCCGCTAGCGCTGGCCGCCGCCGGCGCCGCCGACCTGCTGGGCGGCGTGCGGGCCCACCTCGCGCCGCACCACGCGCGCGACCACGCCGACAGGTAAATAGACTGTAGAATAAAGACACGACAAGTAGCTCCCCTATCTATGCGCCGCCCACAGGTAAATAGACTGTAGAACTAAAGGTTCGGCCAAACAACGCGATCAGACTTAAATGCATTGATCGTCATCGCTGCACGCCGGCTGATCGCGTGTGATCGCGTTGCTTTGGCTGAACGTTAAGTAAAGTGGCGCCCCCACACGCCGCCCGCATATAATTATACTGTGGGTAAATTCATCCGTGTGTTTATACCTTGAATTGAACTCGAGCACATAATGCTGTCTCAAGACTCGATCTATACTTGAGATTGAATCATCAGGTAATTTGGTACCCACTGTAGAAGTACGGCCCTCTTTAATTTTAATCATACATCGTCTTTTAATATGTATACCTCGGCAAACGCTATAAATTAGCTCAGATCTCTAGAGTTCTAAGTTCGATTGCCAGTTGGAACACAAGACGGAACATTACTTTAAAAATATTTATTTTGTTCTAGATCCAGCAGAGTAAGAAGAAAACGGTTTATGGTGACGTACGGCTCATTGGAATACGAGAATTTATATTAGTCACACCTAGATGCTTCTGTTTACATTATAAAAACAATTCAGTTAGCTACGTGTCTTTTTACCACTTGTTAATAATTAGATACTACGGTCACAAAAAAAATCTTAATGAAACAACTCCTAAAAGCACGTTAGTTCTTTATTAGCAAGTAGTAAAACTGGTTTAAGTGTAGAAACTCTAAATAGGCTATAATTTCACTTTAATTCGCATAAATTGATTGAGGCACTCTTCAAATGGCGGCTGTTGAATGTAGAAAATGATATTATAATATCAGAAGTTCAGAACGTAAATAAACAAACTTCCACTTTACTGTAGTGGTTTATAATGTGATGTATTTTTATAAGAAGAGTTATAAGCTGTAAAGGCATTTGGTACAAAATTTTGTATGAACAGCTATACTTTTTTCTGTGATCAATTTCTCACCCTTTTAAAAGTATCTATAAAGCAGATTTATACTTTTTCCGTAAGGCCAATAAGTTGTGATCTTATAACATGATACAAACGACTTCTACGATGCTATATCATTCTATAGTTTTTGGAAATGTCAACGAGTCTTACAGAATTACTGTTTGTCCATAAAATTTTGGTTTACAGCTTTATCACGGCCTAATGACCAAACAATTTTGAGAATGTAATCCATGACCAATTACAATCGTCGTAAGAATGATTTTGTCGCGATGTTTTGGTCATTCACTTACTTACTCCTAGAAAGTCATTGGTTACAAAATTGTGGTAACGCTAAAACTCCTAATTTAAGTGTTGCAACTCGATACTTTAATGATAACTGTTGTTATGGCGTGTCTGCTCTTTAGAAGAAACAAGCATTTATATTCGCAAATTTCAATTTTTTTTAAAGAAAACAGACCTCGATATATTAGCTTTCGTTTCCTGAAGACTAGTTCAATTTAAAAACTCCATTTTTATCGTGGCATGTTTGTTCTAAAGTCCATATACACGCCCTTGTACTGTGTTCAACTTTGTTTCGTTTAAAGATTTTACCAATTAATTAACGAAAGCGGGCATGAAACGGGAAACATGCTTTGCCTTCTCGAGACTGGTGCTTATTTGATTAGCATTTTAGAGCATTTAGTGGCATATTGTGTAGTCTAAAACGGATGTAAATATTTTACATAATTGACGGGGACGAGATGTCGGGTGCCATGACAGGAAGGTAAAATTAATTAAATATTTATCTCCTTTTATAATGCCAAATGTAATCGAAATAAACGAAAGAAAATTTAAAAACATTTTTATACTGATGTATTAGTGGAAATGATGTACACATCCCAATGCATACAGTAAAATAAGAATTTTATAACTTGTTGTAGATACCTTTATTCGCAGAACCTGTCCTGACATATCCCTGTGTACTCATTTCCAAAACATTTAATTATAATTAATTATTGTGATCCTTTGCTCTTTTTAGATTAGTAAGGATGTGATTCCATTTATTTTTGTTTTTATTCACTCAATAATGTAATGATAGAAGAACCCATTATTTTGATATTTGAAATCAATACTTAATTATCAATAAATAATTTTAATAATATGGTATGGTTTTATTATTGGTCTTGGACTAAAAAACAAATATTTTAAATTTATTATTTATCTTCTATACTTATAATAAATCTGTAGAGAGGTCAATTCTGTACATGAAATATATTTTCAAAATAACTATCAGGGGGTGATTAGTGATCGATACTGATGCCAAAAATGCAATCAGTAAAATTTTTGTCTGTCTGTCTGTCTGTCTGTCTGTCTGTCTGTCTGTCTGTCTGTATGTTCCTTATAGAAACAAAAACTACTCGACGGATTTTAACGAAACTTGGTACAATTATTCTTCATACTCCTGGGCAGGTTATAGGATACTTAGGAATTCCCACGGGAACGGGCATTAGCGGGAAAATCCTTTTGTATGAAAAATCTAAACCGCTTAAGTTAGACGCTTGAAATTTGACAAGCAGGTACCTTAGTAAACTTAAAGCTTAGTTATAACAGGATATTGCAAAATTCCTACGGGAACGGGAATTAGCGAGAAAAAACATTTGTATGAAAAAATCTAAGCCACGTAACATAGACGCTTGAAATTTGGCATGAAGGTCTCTTAGTAAACTTAAAGCTTAGTTACAACAGGATTTTGCGAAATTCCAACGGGAACGGGAGTTAGCGGGAAAAAACATTTGTATGAAAAAATCTAAACCGCGTAAGATAGATGAAGGGGGTAAAATGGGATCCACGCGTACGAAGTCGCGGGCGGCCGCTAGTTAATACTAAAGTGCTAATCTATACATTACAGATTAATTAATTTATGACTCTGCCTCTTCTTTTTCTTCAGGATATCTATCATTCAAAAAGCTCTTGACTTCCCCATACTCAGTTTTTAAGTTCAAACGGATTTTTTCATGGTTTCTGTACTTTTCATATTTCTTCAAATAAATTTTGTAGTGTGGCATGGACTCGTAAAATGGTGGGAATTGCTTTTTCTTCAATATAACTCGATCATTCATGACATATTGGGTAAAGTCCAAAGTTTCATCTTTAGGTATTTGGTCCTTTGTTCTGACCTCACTGGGACTGGCCACCACTTTTGGGAAAAACTCATTTTCTGCTTTGTATTCTACTAAGTGTAGTTTTTTCTCTTCAGCCAACTGTTGGTGAGTTCTCTGTAAGTATAGAAAATAAGTTATTAGTACTTAAAAATTTACTGCAAAACTTCAAAGGAGAATATGAGTTGAATTTACCTGCTGCAGTAATCCTATAAAGAATGCTTTGACAACATGCTGAAGATTATTAGAACCCTCCATTTTGGCTCTCAAGTCTTTGATACCAATAGCTTGGCAGATTTCTTTGATAGCTCTATGGCATTTCAGTCCATATCCTTCATTTTTCTTTTGTACAAATATCTTTGTTTTACCAAACGCTGTGTAGAAGTCGTGAAAAACTGAAAATAAACAAAGATTATTAAATATTAATTTCTTTAGTTAGACATAAACAATAAATTGTAGAGTTGAGTATAATTATTTCTACTTACCAGTATGGCCATTATAAATCTCAAAATGCATCAGCTTTTGTCCAGCCCTGTTCTTAGCTTTCCTTAGAGCTGCTGGGGCTTCCTTAGCTCTGCCCAGTCCAAAACCAGCAAGTCCTTGTCCATTACCAGTCACTACCTAAAAATATGTAATTGTTTTTACAAAAAATATTTTTACACCAAATGCAAACAAGAATTCAATTATACTTACCATAGCCTGGTAGTTCCTGGTACGACCTAAGCTTCCTTTCATTATGAGCAAAGACCTCAGTTGGAGGACCTTAGTGTCAAATCCAGTAAATTCATCTGAAATGAATTAAAAGCAAATATGACAGTGCCCTTTTAAATTTTCCTGACTACCTAGTAAATGGTATATTACCTTCTCCAATGGGATCTGGTGCCCCAATACTGCGGCCTGGTAGCCGGGTTCCAGACCAACCTCTCTCAATAGGGCTAAGTTTGATTCGTCTGAACTTTGTCATTGAGTCTCGGAGCTTTATTAATTTCTCCATCCTAAAAATAATAAAAGCATTAATTATGTTATAAACAAATGAAGTGGGAGTTTTAAAGTTTTTAAATTAAGAATTACCTTTCTGGGTCATCAGGTAGTCTCTGCTGTTTTAACAGCTCTCTGCCCCTTATGACCGGAGCAGACAGACCAGGCCACAACATGTTTATTTTGCCAACACCAATGATTTGACCTCTGTTCAAATCTCGAATCCTAATCCGTCCCGCTCCTTTACCACGACCTTTTTTGGCTCCAGCATTACTTACAGAGGTTACCGATTTCCATAGTTTTTCTGCAGGTACTGAAAAGATTGTTTACATTAAGGTTATATAAATAAGTGTATGTAAAAAGTATTTAATACTGACTTGGGTAACGCAATAACAATCAAAAACATGTAGTATATGTGGTGGAACTTACATTTATTAAAGAAATTAACACACGCAATAGGTGAAGTAGTAAATGTTTTGAGGTTAGGCGTTGATTTATTTTGGCATAGCACTTGTTTTAAAATTGTATTAGTCGGTTTAATTAAACTACGTAAAGACAATAGTTTAGAACACATTTTTAGAGCTAGTAAATAGCTCTTTCATGAATTAATTTTTTTTATTTACAAAAAACTACTCCACTCCATACATCTGACTTTGACAGAAGGTTTTTTATAGTTTTGGTGCAGTGTTGTTCCTGACAAATTTAGGGTTGCCGTATTCTAATTCTAAAATTGCCGGATTTTTAAGGAAAACTAAGAAAATTGCCGTATTGTACAAAATGTTTATTTGGGAGGTTTAAATTTAAAAAAATACAAGTGATGTATTATGTACTATGCGTCTACTTTTAAACTTACTTATTTTATTCTTCACTTTTAAAGGTTTGGAATAGTTTAGTCCTAGAACCTACCCGAATAAAAGTGAGTGAAGAATCACCAAAATGAGGAACTAACGATTTTAGACATTAATATCTCGGGGATAAGGTTGCATTTGGTTGAATTCTGTTGACGTTTCTTTTCGTGGCGCTTCTACTTCATCTATGGTTTATAAGTTGGTGCGTTCCTTTAGATGAAATATTGTTTTTTGTTTACTAAAACTCATGAAAAACTCTACCTTAATCAATTGCCGTATATTTTGATACGGTAATGGAAGTGCTGCCGTATACCGTATTTATGGTGCCTAAGATGCCTGAATGCCGTATATTACGGCAATTGCCGTATCAAGAACAACACTGTTTTGGTGGCAAGCTGTGGGCCACTGTGGCAAGAATCAAGTTCGGAATCTTTCAGCCTCCATTATTCCAATTTCATCATTGAAATTCCAATTCATATTCAAGGAACTAATTAACGAGATAGTGTAAGTTATTGTTTAATTGTTAATCATTTGATAATTATTAGTCATTAATAAACAATTTAATTAATTTTTATGAAATTACAGTCGAGCGTCTGTAAATACAGGCTGCATGAAACGTGTTTTTATTATATTTTTTATCTGTGGAAAATTTGACAGCTGATTTACGTGGCCGATGATCACATAATTTTTGCTTGTTTTTGCAGTATTAAAATATTCGCACTGCATTTAGAAGCTCATACATGGGTTAATTTGTAATAAAACATACCTTCTAAATATCGTACAAATCCACTCCATTATGGGTCTTTGTAAGTGTCCGAAACGTCGAGTTACAAATCAGTTTTGCTTCGAACATAGAGTGAATGTTTGTGAATATTGTATGGTGACGAACCACCCAAAGGTAATAAAAATTCAATTACTGATAATATTAATTACATGGACTTCCCCCGTATCCATCTACTCTACTTTCAATTAATCCTTTCAGTGCATCATACAGTCTTACCTGCAATGGTTACAAGACAGCGACTATAACCCCATATGTGAGATTTGCACAAAAAGTTTGAGTGAAGGAGAGTGTATTCGTTTGACTTGCTATCGTAAGTAGACTTACATATCGAATTGTACAAATTAAAAGTAGATTTGGTTAGTTTAATGTTGTTTTCTTTGCTAGATGTATTCCATTGGTCCTGTGCGGAAGCGCGGTACCGGGCGCTGCCTCGCACAACGGCGCCCGCCGGCTACCAATGCCCGTCGTGCGCGTCGCCTGTATTCCCGCCCCCAAACCTAGTGTCTCCTGTAGCTGATGTGCTAAGAGAAAAACTGGCCGGAGTAAACTGGGCCAGGGCTGGTCTCGGACTGCCATTGGTAATTTTGTACTATTAGGCCTATATTATAAGTCTAAACTCAAATATATTTTAAATGTAAGCATAAAAATAAGTTTTAGTAATGAAATTCATCCAATAACAGGCTATGATTTATAAGTATTTGGAATGACTTTTTAAGTCTTAACCCATTCTGGTTTTCCATAACATGAATTTTGTATTTGTTTACAGTTGTCTGAGGATCAAGACATGAAAGGTGCAACTAGCAGACGAAGCCAATCTCCGCTAGAACATACTCAGTACTATTCCAGCACTGTTGACAGTCAAAGAGGCACGCCAGTTGGGGCCAGTGATGACGAATCTACGAATAGATCAGCAAATAGCACTCCACATTCCATTGTCCAAATCCCTGATGACCCTGTCAATATCTATGATAACACTTCTTTGAAGAGGACTGACAGTTTACAAGGTAATTAAATTTTATTTTAAGTATTTTCTTTAAAAATCATATAAATTACTATTACTTGTATTAATTACTTACGTTTATATTTCTTAGGTGGTCAAGCTCCCAGAAAATCATTTAAGTCATTGGACCACCCCAAACCCTCCTTGAACTATGACCATGATGAAAATAAATACAAGCAAAAGTCAACATTTGCCTGGATAAGCAGATGGTGGAAGTAAGTATACTTAATAATTTTTACAAGATTTTATTTAATTCCATTCTAGGTATAACACATTAAAAACATAAATTTTACAGGAACACGCTTCCTAATTCACGTGTACGTCGCGCCGGAGGTATCTACAGACGTTACTGGATCCTACTTTTTGTTCTGATCGCAGTGATTGTTGTGTTAGTACTCCTCAGTCAAAGAGATGTTAACGATGAAAGCCCATTTGCTTTCAAAGACGAAGACCGAAGAATACTTCAGAAAAACTAATATAGGTTGCAATCACAGGTATATTTATGAAATCAAGCAATTTTTAAGTAGGTGGGCCATTCTTAAATTTGTGCCAATTTTTTTTGTAAAATTAATGATTTTTTTTTTAAACTTTTTGCGATGTGTATCGAAAGTATAAACCAAAAGCATACTTTTGATGTATATGGACAACCTTAAAACCCTCGGAAAGGAAACAAAATAGCCTACGTAAACACGGCTGTGACACTGCATGACACGGATGTGACAGTTTTACATTTTTACTGTAAATAATAATATTTATGTTGTTAAATTTATATCATAATAGTTTAAATTGATTAACAATAAAATACACTAAATTCGTTTCATCAACAAAGGTGTTATTTGGTAATATGTACTTTTTTCTGAACATCCAAAAAATTAATTAGAATTGAGATCAAAAATACCGTCAGGTAGTTAATATATCTACTAGATAATAAAAAAATAGACTTTTTATTATTGGCACTATCTGATCATGCTTCCGATATGCTACCTACATGGTTTCGATATGATAATATGCTTAACAAATTAGTAAATCTTAAACACAGTAGGTACCTAATTGAGTATCAAATGAGATTTCTGTAGGATTCACATAACAGTTGGTTTTGACAACTTAAACATGTTTCATAGTCACCGTACCACTAAAAATATGGTTAATAGCAATTCCTTTTAAAACAACTCCGACCACCTCTGCAGGGCCTTTACCGGGAGCTGTCTCAGTAAAATTTGATATTACTGCAGAAATGAGAAAGTGCAATAATTTTTCCTTCGTGGCATCTAGAAAATCATACTAGCGAAAAATAAGTACACTTACTAAAAGGCTACTCCTAAAAATTGCACAATACACAAAATAATTTAGCAGAACAACAAAAACTATTAAAATAATAAAAATAGAATGTCACAACCACGCGTTGTAATGTCACGACCATGTACTTAAATAGTTTGCGGTAGTGACACATTTTTAATACCATGGCCGTGACAATTTGGAACGTGTCCGATATATCCAAAAAACTATCTGTGAATTAGCAGATCTTGTGCAATTATCTGAAACTATACTGCATGAGGTACATAATTATGTTTTATACAATAGCGTGACATTGATACCTACCTTTAAAAACCGTACACGGGATGGACGTGTTATGGTTGTCCCTTTTTTCAAATAAATAGGAAATAATTTTTTGCGGCTCACTCACTACGTTCAGCCATTTGCAAATCTAATAAGATGACAATGTTACTGTTCTAAAAAAACTTAGCAAGGGATGTCAATATCAAAGATAGTTTTTTACCGAGTTACGCATATTTAAAGTGGCGCACGTGGTTGTGACACAAAAACTGCTCACACAATGTTTGGTGTTCAAAATCAAAAATGGTAATTATTATTGATATAAATTTTTAACAGTCTTATATAACATGTATTAATCTTGCATAATTACTGTAATATTTATCATAATAACATAACATCTCTTCAGAAAAAAATATTGTATGTCCAAATCCGGGAATCTCACACTACACGGTCCGTGACATTTTGGACTTGTAACTTTTTTTTAATATTCTTCTAATAGTTTTATGATGAAAATGATATTGGGCCTAGTTAATAGAGGTATTTTACTAAGTAAATTAATATACAGTGCACTGATTTTCTTTAAAAACATATGCTATTCTTACATCTCACACAAAAATGCGTAAGAATAAGAATGGCCCAGGTACCTATTAGGCATATTGTATTTTATTAATTTATAATTTGAGATACTATTGAATCACCTTAGTGTAAAAATGTAAAAGTTAATACATTTCTAAAAGGACAGTTTTTATGGAAATTGTTACATACTAAAATCAAATAATTTTGTTGATAAAATCATCATAAAAAATTACTTATGCATACAAAAACACTAAAAATATTGGCACTCAATTCTTTTTAATTCAATTAATATTTAAATGTTTCAAAATATAAAAGATAAATACAATAAAGAATGAGAATAATTAGATGAACACAGTGGATAAATTGAAACCTTAGATCGAACACCAAACTGATAATCATAACATAACACAAACAAGTTCAGATATGGATGGATTAACCGTAATTAAACATTATATTGATCAAGTTATTTTGATTTTAGTCCATAAAAATGATGTCCTTTGTTTTATATTCATATTTATTGTATAAAAAATTCTGATTACAATAAAATGTGATACAAATATAGAGTTGAATAACTTGCATACAATGTTTCATTGAGTTTACAGAACTTTAGTACAGGTGCTAACGTCTTTATCCAAAAACATAACAGAGAAAATGTCATTGTAGAAATTAGGATAGTACTCACAAGCCCGTTGGCAGTCGGGCATCCAATTTACCTCTAATAATTTAGGCTGAATTATCAAATCATTACTTGGTTGATGCCAACTTAACATAATATCAGCTGCATACAAAGCTCTTGATTGTGGGCTTTTAGCAATGCCACAAGGAGCATTTTTAGCTGTAGCAGCTACAAACAGTTCTGATATCATTTGAAAGATAGATTTTTCTACTGCATCCCAATCATAATTTGCATACTGTTTTGACCATTCTCGTTTGAACTCCTCACAAAGTAACCTATACAATGGAGCTCCTTCTGTGTAATTCATCACAGTAAAATGTTGCTCGTAATCTTCAAGATTATTAAGAGCAAAAGGTTTGTTAGAAAATCTAAGGAAGAAGTTATTGTAAACATAAACTTCAGTGGGGTCAACTGATTTTAGCAAAATAACATAACGGATATCAAATTTCACCATTCCTATATCAGGCCTATCAAATAACACTGGATTATCAATGTACTTTTGTGCAATTTTTGGTCCAGTCAATGGCAAACGGCAAATGAAATCCAAATTATTAGTGATGTATGTGTCTATGCTCCTTGCTAAGTTATATGGCTTACAAATCCAATGGTTATCTAATCCAGCTCTTTGTCTCTGCATGTAGTATGCCACTAACTGTGGCAATTCTGTCTTTAGATTATATGTTGTGGGCAGCCAAAGAGGATAAGTTTCAAGACTTCCAGATGAAGTGGGTTTTTGCTTAGCACTTCTCCTTGCTACAATAGCTAAGAGATCTTTAATGGTGATAACATATTCATAAGGAAATTGGTTGACAAACTTATTTGGTGATACTTCACTCAGCTCTTTGAATGTTTTAAAATGATTTATGAACCATAATACATCAGCTTCCTCCGCATTATCAACTATTTCAAACTCTGGTGCATTTAAATAATCATTGATGTATCTGTACTCTGAGAATACTTTTAGTTTCTCTGGTCTTTGCCTGTTTTTTAGAATATCCAGTTCAGGTAAAGTCTCAGCAATGTGTCCATCAAGAAAATAATCTTTATCTGGTTCTTCTTGGGAGAAGTCTTCATCAAAATGGTTGTAATGTCTCCAAGGGATGAGCAATGCATCCCTCTTCATTGGACTGACTTGAAAGCCCTCAGCAAAGTCCCTAGTGATAACGTCACCTTGTTCAACATTTTCAATAGGAAACAGTAGTGTGTAGGTCATTTGCTCAGAAATATTTATAAATGGCACAGCCTTAAAATTTGGGGTGTCCGAGTGTGTTATTCCTGAGCCCAACTCGTCCAGGACATACCAAATAGGTACCCTTTCTTCAACTGAATATTCATTGTTTGCTATAGAATAAGTATGAGCATACTTCCATACCTTCTGTGAGACCATCTCTATTTGTTCCTCTGTCGAATCAGCACTTATTTGCATCATTGCACACATCCTTTGCAATAGTTCAGGCATATTTTGAAGAGAGCTTTTAATACGATTAGCCCTAAAAGTCCACGCGTGATCAACTAGGTAAATATGAGTTGGATCAGACCGGTCTATGTCTGTAATAGCCATAACACTCCACAGAGGATCGTAGGGCATTTTTTCACCATCTTCATAGTCAATTTGTACGAGTTGGAAAGTTAAGCCGGAATCGAAAATTTGATCCTTGAGTTTCTTACATAAAGTTGGCCAAAAATATTCTGGAACTTTTGAAAGCAATAGTTGAGGCTTGTGCATAGCTAAAAAGCTATTGTATGTATCAACACCATCCATTTTTCGCGATTTTAATTAGTTATTTTCTAATTAGTGTAAATTAGGTTATGTCCACAAATTCCATGAGCGAGATAAAAAATCGATAAACGATGACATTGACAGATGACAGACAGCTGTCACTTTCGCGATCCGTTTCGCGCATCCATCCACACAGATGGATTTCAGACATCATCAGATTTCTGAACTTCTGAATAACTCAGGATCTAATAGTCAATAAATAACTAGCTTTTAGAGCTAAAGTCCTCATCGTGCTTTTCTTAAAAAAACGGAAAAATATTATTTCAACAATATTGATTTTATCAATATCGGTTCATCAAGTGTGTAAAAATGTAACCAGCATTCATGTATCCTCACAAACTCTCCGTCAAAAGATAATAGAATTTATTAATAAAAGGGAGAAAAAGCGTACCTATAAACAAGTCTCAAACAGAACTTGTTGTCATTGTTGATTTGTGCATAAATCAAATCATTTGTGCATATCTTGTTAAAGGTCGAAAAATAAAGTACCATAAAATTTTTCAAAATCAATGTATTTTACCAGTTATTAACATATCTGGGGAACATTGATGATCCTTATAACTAATTAAATTAATAATATAATAATAGATCACATATATTTTTATTTTTAATAATAAACTATACAAAAAGGAAGATGGCCTCTGATGTCACCACTACATAATACACATAACAATCTGAATAATAATTCATTGTTTTTTAAGCGAGTCTTTATCATAAAGGATTGTCTGTTTGTCCAGTATAGTGACATAGCATAAATAGTACAAAAGAGTGGCAAACATAGTGTCCCAATTCAATTTAAAGATCTAAATTACACCTGCAAGTAGTTACAAAGTTAATTTAACAATAGTAGAAGACGCTGTTAGCTGACAGAAGCTGTAGCTTGAGCGCCATGACAGTCCCGATGGTCTCCGGGACACGCGATTGTCCCGCTATTGAAAAAATTCAGCTGTCAACAGCTGGTTTAGGATCGCTCCACCCAACACCATGGTGGTTTAAAAACAGCATTCTTCTAATAGGTTACACCAGACCACACCCCCATCCAGACTCATCCAGCAATAGAGATCACCACATTCAATTAATGTGAAATAATTACCTATTGAAAGAATAGGTACAACATTTAAACATGAAAGAGTAATATTTTTAATAATTTGATTTGACTTCAAACCAGTGATGTCACAACTCTTATTTTTGTACACGCGTGTACATTTCCGAATATTTAATTCATAAAAACTGTATTTTTTTCATAAATTTTCTCCGCGCCACTAATAACGACGGTGTAAATAACGAACCGACTAGAGATAAATATTAAAGTTACATTTAACAGTCACACCAAAACTAACCCCAAACTAAGCAGAGCTTTGACTTCGGCCTTCGTTCATGTCGTCTAGACGCCTTGGAGGTCAATAAATGTAGACAGACGAAAGCTCGTCCACGCCGAGACCATCGGCATACAATGAACACAAGAAGTATCTACGGTCAGTTCAATTGGAGTCGGAGTCTATGGGGTTTATGTAGTTGCGGCGGGCCCATTTGACGCGTTGTCGGAGTTTTAGAAGTTGGTAGTCGGGGTCGTCTGAGGCGTCGTCGGTAGGATTAGTAGCGCGGGCGTTGGTAGGAGGCTCGCGGCTACTGTGACTCGGGGGTTCGCGGCTACAATGGCTTGGTGGCTCGCGGCTATGGTTCGGTGGCTCGCGGCTACAATGGCTCGGTGGCTCCCGGCTACCGTGGCTCGGTGGCTCCCGGCTCCCGGGGCCGCTGGGACCACTCTCGGTGCTGCAGCTGCTTTCTAGCTCGCTTTCGTTGGTCTCGTTCATAAGTCGCGCGACGGTGCGGTTGTGGCCCTTGGGGGAGAGCCGCTCCGCAACTGACGTTGACGCGCGATCGTTGGGTTCCTTGAAACAAGAATTGCGAATTAGATTATTTTTCCATATCTTTCATACACAGTGAAATAATATTGAGGTTTCAGAGATTAAAACTATGTGTGGGTCAATTTTAACGGATTATCCGTTGACAAAATTGCAGGAATCTATTGGCTCGGATTCTAAATGGATATTAGTAATCGAATCAGAAATGAGGAGATCCGCAGGAGAACCGTGACTGTCATAGCCCGCAAAATCGCTAAAAACAAGTGGCAGTAGGAGGGGCACATAGCTCGCAGATCTGATGGCCGCTGGGGCAGAAAAGTTCTCGAGTGACGACCACGAGCCAGAAGACGTAGTGTGGGCAGGCCCCCCACTAGGTGTACCGACGATCTGGTGAAGGTTGCGGAAGGTGCCTGGAATCTGGATGCGGGCTTTGTCCAGCAGTGGAAGTTATTCGGCAAAAACGAACGAACGATTAGGCGGCGGCGACTCGCTAGAATCCGACTGATGCAGCGATGGAGTCGCGCGAGCCATTGACCGGCGTCGGCACGATGCTCAGAAGCCATTCATTATAGTTACCTTCGGCGGCGGCGACTCGCTAGAATCCGACTGATGCAGCGATGGAGTCGCGCGATCCATTGACCGGCGTCGGCACGATGCTCAGAAGCCATTCATTATAGTTACCTTCGGCGGCGGCGACTCGCTAGAGTCCGACTGATGCAGCGGGCTCCTATTATTAAACCGCGTGTGCTTCCACGGACGCCTCGTTGGTCGCGGGCGCGGCTCAGGTGGCTCGGCGGTCGGCTCAGCGCGCAGTGAATCCGCGATGGAGTCGCGCGAGCCATTTACAGGCGTCGGCACGATGCTCAGAAGTCAATATAGTTACCTTCGGCGGCGGCGACTCGCTAGAATCCGACTGGTGCAGCGGGCTCCTGTTATTGAACCGCGTGTGCTTCCACGGACGCCTCGTTGGTCGCGGGCGGGGTTCAGTTTGCTCGGCAGTCGGCTCCGCGCGCAATGAATCCGCGATGGAGTCGCGCGAGCCATTGACCGGCGTCGGCACAATGCTCAGAAGTCATTCATTATAGTTACCTTCGGCGGCGGCGACTCGCTAGAATCAGACTGATGCAGCGGGCTCCTGTTATTAAACCGGATGTGCTTCCACGGGCGTCTCGTCGGTCGCGGGCGCGGCTCAGGTGGCTCGGCGGTCGGCTCAGCGCGCAGCGAGTCGGCGATGGAGTCGCGCGAGCCATTGACCGGCGTCGGCACGATGCTCAGAAGTCATTATACACTCGCGAGCAAAAGTATGGAATCACCCCATTAGTTTTGAGTAATCTTTGTAGCTAAACGACTATGAAGATAAAATTATAAATGGTACCAGTTTAAAGGTTACATTACAAACTTTAACTTGATACCATAGATGCATAGATAGTCATTGAGTTCTTCAGATCGTTGGGAACAAAACACAAGAGGGTGATTCCATACTTTTGCTCGTAAGTATAGTTAGGTACCTTCGGTGGCGGCGACTCGCTAGAATCCGACTGATGCAGCGGGCTCCTGTTATTGAAACGCGTGTGCTTCCACGGCCGTCTCGTCGGTCGCGGGCGCGGCTCAGGTGGCTCGGCGGTCGGCTCAGCGCGCAGTGAATTCGCGATGGAGTCGCGCGAGCCATTTACAGGCGTCGGCACGATGCTCAGATGTTATTATAGTTACCTTCGGTGGCGGCGACTCGCTAGAATCCGACTGGTGCAGCGGGCTCCTATTATTAAACCGCGTGTGCTTCCACGGGTGTCTCGTCGGTCGCGGGCGCGGCTCAGGTGGCTCGGCGGTCGGCTCTGCGCGCAGCGAGTCGGCGATGGAGTCGCGCGAGCCATTGACAGGCGTCGGCACAATGCTCAGAAGTCATTATAGTTACCTTCGGCGGTGGCGATTCGCTAGAGTCCGACTGGTGCAGCGGGCTCCTGTTGTTAAACCACGTGTGCTTCCACGGCCGTCTCGTCGGTCGCGGGCGCGGCTCAGTTGGCTCGGCAGTCGGCTCCGCGCGCAATGAATCCGCGATGGAGTCGCGCGAGCCATTGACCGGCGTCGGCACAATGCTCAGTAGCTCGGGAGCGCTCGGAGGCGACACGGGCCGACTACCGACAGATTGGTCGTCGTCGGAATCAACCTCAGCTATCCTGAACAAAGCTGAGGAGCTTTGACCTCTGTAACCTGCACAGATAAGTATGTTTTTAAATACGCGAGACACATTTTTAAGTATATTTTTCTTTATTGAAGATGTTTTTCGACTTACCTGTGCTCGTGCTAGGTAACAGTAAATCTTCGTTGTCGAAATTTGAAAAATTGTTGTTATCGCTACTGTCTTGTGCTCCTGTAACAAATAATATATTCTGTCAGTAAATAAACATGCTAAAAGAAATCTCTAAAAACTTTGTTGTTGACACATACCATTACTTCTCAGATTCATAACTTTCCTATAACTAGTGACTTTGCTTTTCCTCTTTGATGTCCTTGTGAGGTTTATCCGGCTACGAAGTGGTCGTAGAATCTGCAATATAAAATATGAAGTTCATTGACAAAGTAAATGAACCGCGTAACTATGAATTTATTGTCTTCAAAACCTAACTAAAGCTTGGTCCGTGAGCACGTAGAATCCCGTCCAATGACCCCAAGCTACCCATCCCTATCGCTCGCGCGTAATTATGTTGCTGTCGCGCTCGCACACTCACTGCGGGCGCCCGTCGCACAGTCGCGACAGCAACATAATTACGCGCGAGCGATAGGGATGGGTAGCTTGGGGTCATTGGACGGTATTCTACGTGCTCACGGACCAGGCTTTAGCTCTGAGCGCTGCCATCTATACTAACCACTGTAGCTACATACTGAAAGTTACGTTAGCTAGAACACTCGAAAACTCTCCTTGACGGCGGTCAGGGCAAAGATCTAACATTCCCATCCCTTGTTGTAAAATAACGGACCTATATAACGGGACTATTACCACCTCTCGTTCCCACCACTGCAACTCCTGTGTAGCCAGGATCTACAGATTAACCGCCACAAAAACCCAACCAATGAAGGTCAAGTTTGTCTCGGGGGAATGTTAAGTGGACTCGCATAACGGACCTATAGCAGGGGAGGATCTTTCAAAGGCATAAATAAATTCACAAAGTCAAAGGTCACTAACCCTGCCAGTGTTCCTGAACATAGCATGCGCCGGCTCATCGGAATCGGTCCGCTCGCTCGACGGGGCCGACACGCGGGCGTGGCGCGACGAGTGGTGGGCCCGCACGCGCGGCAGCGGGGCCCGGGGGGCGGGTCGGCGGGGCCCGCGGGGCCGGCGCACGGCGGGCCGCTTGCCCTTAGCACTGGCGACACCTTTGCCCGCTTTGCCGAGGGATGAGCGGGACTGTTTGCTTCGTCTGCAATGACACTCACATTTATAGGTGAGATTTTCCTCATTTGACTTTCTTTCTATAACACCCCGCGAACTACAGATTTTTAATCGACCGAACCTTTCAAACATGGAGCATTCAAGTATTACGTAACGCAATTCGGGGGGAGGGGGAGTCTCGTAAAACGTTACAATGCGTTACAGGGGCGGGAGGGGGGTCTTTCTTACAAGACGTTACGTAACATTGTTTCTTTTTTTTTAATAAAAATTTAGGGAATTAAAACTCCCAAATTGGCAACATTTGCTTGTTTACGTTTTACGGGGAAGCCTTCGATTGTATTATAGTCATTTTTCATTTATTTTATTCTCGCAAGTTGGCAAACCTTTAGGGTATAAATGGTCACTTGAGTGTAACGTAACGTTTAGAGAGGGGGAGGGGGGGTACAGAAAAACGTTACGGTCCGTTACAAGGGGGGGAGGGGGAGTCTAAAATCTTCAAAAATTGCGTTACGTAATACTTGAATGCTCCCCATGCTAACTGATTGACATATTCACTGATAGATGTTTCGTACTGATTTTATTAGACAGAACCCCCAAGGAAAACGCTAACGTGGTCGTCCCAAGCATACTTGGCGGCGCACTGTAGCAGACGAAGCGAAGAAGATCGGCAAGACTTGGAGCGAGATCAAACGCGAAGCTCAAGACCGAACGCGATGGAGGACTGTTGTGGACGCCCTCTGCCCCATCTAGGGGACATAAGACCTTAGGTAAGTCAAGTTATTAGCCAGCTCCGCCGACAAAAAGGCTGTAGTCTGCGGGGTGTCTATATGGCGTCAGGGGATTTGAATGATCCCTTGGAATAGGTTTTGGGAAAATTTAAGAAATTTATTACTTAAATGATGAGTTTTGGAAAACAATGATATGTAGTTGAATTTTCCTAGAAACTGCTACTCATGAGCTTCATTAAAGTGTAAAAAAACTTGGAACCTTTATGTGATTCTCTAAGAAACTGTATAAATACCAAATGGATTGTTAAGTACAAGTGCTTGTTAAAAACATCAAATAAAAAAACATGCATATACCTATATCTACAATATTGTCTTATTCTCGGAGTAAGGAACTACGTCCTTATGATACGAGGTACGACAACGAATTTTTGCAGTTCACCTCCCAATCCCAACACGTGCTCAAGTATATTGCGCCATTTTGCCTTCACAATCGACTACGTGTGAACTGAAAATGAAAATATTTTGACTTTCGGCCGGCTAGGGACCAAATCCGACAGGTGGGTAAACAAAAACAACTCTTATACATAAAAAATAAAGATTAGAATCGCATCTATCAGATTCAGTTGGGGCTTGCGGCAACTAAAAGTAGTTTAGTCACAGAAAAGTATGTTTGTTAGGCTTATTACACATTTGCGTCACGTTGCTAACGGCAATGTAAGCCAGCGTGAGAATTTGAAGCAAAATGAGAAGAATTTAGGGGCTTTTAATCCATCCTCTATGAGAAAAAAAAAACATACTCGTCAGGACTATGAAATCAAATGACAAAATGGCGCACGATACACGCTACAAAATTGCATGCGCGTCCGCTACACTTCTATGTCATCAGTCTGTTAGAGCCCTTAGGAAGTTTCTATGTGACCTACCTTGCAGATCCCCGTTTTTGCATCCGCGAGTTTTTGGAATACCGGGACGCAACCAGCCGCGCCAAACGATTCGGACATCTTTGACTGCGGTTTCCATTTGGATTCACTGAAGCAAAAACATAACGTCAAAAAATTTAATTATGGTCCTTCGAGCCGGATAATCTATAATAATAAAAAGCTAGCAAAAATTTATCGGTATCAGAAGTCCGTAGAGTGAAGCTTAAATCTATATCTATAAAAGCGAAAAGTCACTGACTCATCACGAAATCTCAGAAACTGCAAATGCTTGGAGTCTCAAATTTTGCATGAGGGTTCCTTTTAGAATGTAGGTGCTCACTTAGAACGGATTTGACGAAACTCCACCTTTAATGGGCTAAAACGGGCGGCCGCTAGTAATATAGTAGTGAGAAATGTGTTTGCGAAGCGACTCTTTTGTTGGAACTATTAGGTATTCTGTCACTGACCTCTCTTGGGCGGCAATGGCAGGAAGTCAACCACAATTTGCTCGCTATCGGACGAGTCGGAGCCGTTGTCATGCAGCGTGCCGGCCGAGCTGGAAGCGTCGAGGGAATCCGTTTCTTCGGCCAGGCATTCCAGCTCGCGTTGTACGAGCGAGTCGAAATACGCCATCATGCGAGGATCCTCGCTAGTGGACTGCTCCGCGTAGTTGTGCGATATGTACTGGAATGAAAGATGGATATTCAACCAAGGTCACTAGTTAGGTACTACATTACATTTTACTGTCACATTTCAAATACACCACCTATTGTTATCAGTAACGTAAGCATACAAAAGACATGCATCTCAAGGTTTTTAAGACGTCACTCACGTTTTATTGCACCGTTTGTCGTGACCCCAACATATTAGTTGAGTATAATAAATTAATCAAATCATTTAATGTACAGTCACGGAATGAAAAGGTTCGTCAGTTTTCAAATTGATTCCTTCAACGAATCGCGAGCACATATTACCTTTTGAAACTATGTTACAGAATAATCTCGAGTTAGAGAAAATAATCTTTAACTGTTCGTCAGTAAAGTTCAAAATTATTCAGATCAAAGTTGTTTGACGATTTAACTTGTCAAGAAGATTATTATGATTGATAAAATAAAACCTTCTTGTTGGTTCAACCTGCCATTATCTATTAAATAAAAAAAACTACATTTTGTAACATTGCACTGATGGGATAAAATAATAAAGCAAAAACTTATTCGTTACCAAACGTCATATTTATTTAAATGTTAGCAGCACTGTTTCTTGCACGGTTATGTTGGCAGGTTTGACTCTTACAGTACCTAGTGCAAGCGAAAACCGACACTAAGGTGACGAACCTTTTCATTCCGCGACTTTACTTAGGCCCAGGGCACTTGTATATGTACAAGCTTATCCTAAATATAGCTTGCCCTACCACCACTTCGGGACAACATAAATGGACTGGCGCTGAGAAGAATCACATCATCTAACTGACTCAGATACTGTATACTGTATTAACATGACATTTTGTTTTGCAAATAAAATTATTCGATTTGGTTTCCTATTGGTAGATATCTGGTTTGTAAGCTCACCTGTCCGCTGTGGTGCACCAGCGAGACGTAGTCCTCGTGGCTGTAGATCTCTCGTGGGTTGTCTGAGCCCTGCGCCTCTTCCAAGAGCGAGCCGCGCATCTTAGGATACTCCAGGGCAGACCACACCTGTAGGTATAAAATATAAGTTATACCTAGTTCATCAACGGGACTAATCCCACCTCTCGTTCCCACCACTGCAACTCCTGATCTACAGCTTGACCGCTCATAAAAACCCTCAAGGCCCAGTTTGTCAACTGTCATTGGATCAACAAAGTATGGTCAGTCAGAAAATCGTAGGAGTTGTCTGGTCTCAAACAGTCGATTCTTAATTTCGAACTCCTACTATCACACAGCGAATGACAGGTAGCATAACAAACAACGGTAATAATGTTCAAGAGTCAATTATAGTCTAATCCTGAACGTTAGTATAATCTCCTGCTTTATCTCTATATTTAATGCTTGCAAAATGCTATAGTTTATCGCTATAATATCTTAAACCTTTTGTTGCAAATTTTAAATTTGACAGGAAAAATTACTAAATAAAAGTTTGCCTCATTTCTTTAATTGTGTACCTTAATAATTTTCTCGACCCCAGACGAAGCGATGAGGCAGTACTGCTGGTTGTACCGCACCTGGTTGACTATGGACCGGTGGCCGTAGAGCACTACGTGCGGTTGCTGCACCGTCATTTCTGCAAACGGGAATATCCTGGGTGAATAAGTAGAACGCATATTCATACATGGGTAATGACGACCGCCTGGTGACTGAAGTATTTTTTTTGCCAATAATGTCTGACAATAGCAGGCACTAAGATCTAAGGAGGAGCAAATCAGAGGGGCGCCATTGTAAAGGGAGCGTTTTGTGAAATACAATTGTTGTTGAACAAAGCGCACGTTGTTTTATAGATGACTAGCGGCCGCCCGCGACTTCGTACGCGTGGATCCTGTTTTATCCCCTTTTCCCGAATTTTCTTTGCTATAAACCTCACGGAGCCCGAGACCTTTCCAACGAATGCAAAACCGTGGAAATCGGTTCGTGCGTTCTGGAGTTATAGCATCAGGGAGGAAAACCCGACTTATTTTTATATAGTAGATTAATTTGATTTGAAACGCCTAATTGGTTTTTAAACACATCTTATTAAACAGGCTCACACATGAAACTTTTTTTAGTTTTGCCCCAGTTCTAAACATTTTAGGCTGGATAATGGAGCTGTAAAAGTCAACATAAATAAAAAGCTACTTCATTCGGTAAAAACACATGAAACTCACCCTCCCCTCCACCGTCTGGTATCTTCCACATATACAGGTTGAAATCATCGGACCCAGACATCACATACTGGTCTCCTTCCCCCGCGAAGCAGCAGCTCTTCATAGTACACGAATTGTAGTAGTCCTGGTGGTAGAACTCTGCTACAGGCTCCGGGGAATGTACTGCGTATAGGACGGGGGGTAAGCGCCTTCGGAGCGCTAGTACGTGAGTGCCGGCAGAATTGAAACGCACGCTCATACTGTTCTGGCAGGTGCCGCGGCGGCCTGCGTATCGGACGACGGGGCTGGAAAGAGTTTGGTAAATAGAGCAAAATAATATCTTTAGCTTTACTGCCTTATTGTACAAAAAAAATTGAAAGAACATTTATTTTGGACACCACAAGGTACGGATAGCAATAAGTGTGCAAGCGCGAGACATTCGGCTGAAACTTTTAAAATGTTGCAGCTCATTCAAAGCCTAACAAGTAGTGATCAAGTTTCTTGCACTGCTTCTTCTTAGCACTGGTTCATTTAATGTGCTAAAGCTGTGGTAGAATTGATACTGGGAAGAACCACTTTTATAACAGCCTAGCCAAGCCAAGCCAAGCCAAAACTTCTATCATATCTACAGGCCTGGGAAGCGCGCTGAGGTAGGCTTTTATTGCGCTATTTTATCGATTTTCCGCTATGAGCTTTCACAATTGTCGTCTAAAATCGTCGATAAGATTTTATCACGGCACGCATTTTAGCCCGGCTGATCAAAAAACTTACTGCTGAGGCCGGCGCAGGTCCCAGAGAGCCACGCCGTCGCGAGCGTTGGCCGACACCAATACGCCCATCTGCTGTGGGTGGAACATCACGCCGTGGAATGGTTTCCTGCTGCGCGACAGCACTAATGACTCTGTGGAAGTTTGTGTTGGTCATCATCTTATAGAGGATTAGTCCATAGCTGCCCTAGGATAGAAAGGTCTACTCTCCACGAAAGGGTTTCAACGAAAAAATTATCGGCCTCTACATAGAAGGACTCTAGGATATAGGATTATAGAACACCAATGCTACCAGGTTCCCGCAAACTAAGCCCTACTGTCCATGGAAGTCTATCAATAAACATACATAAACAATACATAAGATGATGGACTATGAAACTTGCATACAATAGGCCAAACATAATTCATTAGGTAGTAATAATTTGAGTTGGTTTACAAATATACTTTTTTTTTCATTCAAATCATATTATGTGTTTCACCTTCAAAACTACATCCAACCAACATTTAAAATTTTAATCACTTTTGACCTCTGCTTGTTTACGAGTTAGATAGACTGAAGTGTTCTTGGCAGTTTTCCAATACATTAGATGAAGGTTTGTATAATTACTGTATCAATAACTTATTTTGTAAAATTAACATAAAAATGAGAACAAACCAATATTACAATCACTCACGATATAAAGATATTCGAGTGTCGAAAATTAACAATCTTCCATCGTTGCCAGCTGTGGCAACAACGCGGTCATCGGATGGTGAAATGCTGAGGCTGCACACTGCTCGTTGATGCTGTAGCACCTCCAACGGACACTTGCTTTCTAAATCGTGGACTATTACCTGATGAGCAAGAAACATGCACATTTACATTTTGTTTAGCAGGAAAGTATGACAACTTTTCAACAAAATTTTAAGTATTATTAAATGCAATTGCATATTTTACTTCCTTGACTCTTAAATGGACAAAGCAAGTTCAATTTTTTGTCGTTTTTGGGCTTTCAGACAAGGGAATAAAATAAAAACTGCCTTATTGAACTTACAACGTCATCATTGCCCCCTGAATAAATCTTCTGGTTGTCACTGGTGATGTCAAGGCAGAATATGTTGGACTGGTGGCCAGCTTTCATTGCCTCAGGCTTGCCATGGTCAAGTAGGGCTTGACCAAACTTCCATAGCATCACCCTGCGGTCATCTCCACCTAATAGAAGTACAAAATACAAGATACTTACATCAACAATGTTTACTAGTTACTACTGAACACATAATACTAATAATACAAGTGATTGATTGAGGCCTCCCACTAGGTGGACCGACGATCTGGTGAAGGTCGCGGGAGGTGCCTGGAAGCGAGCGGCGCAGGATCGGTCTTCGTGAAAATCCTTGGGGGGAGGTCTTTGTCCAGCAGTGGACATCTTTCGGCTGAAACGAACGAAGTGATTGATAATACAAGTTACTTTTAAAGTAGAAACTGGTTAAATCCTGAGATTATGAGCTAAAGTAAATCAACAATTTATTTCTTTATATAAAAAACCAACAGCATAAAATGCAGAAAGTTTTTTCTAATGAGATGGTCTCATAGATTGACCAACAGGTTTTTCTAATTACTTAAAAGGACAAGTATTATTGCGATCATGTAATTCAGACATATCTTCTGAATAACTTATTCACCTAATGGTGGCCATACACGTTAGGGTTTGCATGATGGTTACGACCGTACATGCTTAACCAACAGGTATAACCGAGTTATCTATAGCACATACACGTTAGGGTTTGCATATACAATCTAAAGGACAATGGGCAAAATGGTACCCGGCTCCAATAGATATGTGTCTAGTATCGTTTGAAAGGTCTTACCAAGATGAACTACTTTTACTATGACCACCAGCCTCAGATCTGGTTGTGTACGAAGATATACATACTTTTTTGCAGAATGGTACCCGACTCCAATAGATATGTGTCTAGTGTCATTTGAAAGGTCTTACCAAGACGAACAACATTTACTATGGCCACCAGCCTCAGATCTGGTTGCGTTCGAAGATAAAGATACTTTTTGTGTAACCTAAGTATCATACAGTATGAAGGGGGACGCGCTCAGGGCAGGGCACCGACGAGATGGTCGGACGCGGTGAGGAAGACGGTGGGCGGGAGTTTGCATCGTGCGGTCCACACAGCTTATGACCGCAGTCTGTGGAGGAACACTATCTGTGGTCGCGATCCTCATCAGTGAGGGAACGAGGAAGAAGAAGAATAACTATCATACGTGTCCATCGTATGGTACTTAGGTTATGCGAGGCAGGAAGGGTTTACTGCTCTAGCATCCTTCCTTAACTCTATAATTATTGATGGGGATAATTGTGAAATAAATATTTTTATTTAAAGAAATACTACCCCCTTATTAATAAAAAGTTACACCTAGGAAGAACCTTGGATTAAAATGACATTTCCATACCAAATGACAATTTAAGCCAGAATTCAACTAGGGTGTAACTTTTATTAATAAAGGGGTTAAAGTTTTATTACTTCTTACGGATTTTATTATGAGTTGCTAAAGCGAATAAACCCACTCGCTTTAGACCCAATAAGTCCACCCACAAGATGGACCGACGACCTCATAAAGGTAGCGGGAAGGCGCTGGATGCAGGCCGCCACCAACCGGCCATTGTGGAAATCATTGGGGGAGGCCTATGTTCAAATGGACGTCCTATGGCTAAAATGATCATGATGATGATGATGAAAGCGAATAAAGGGATAATAGCTTGGGTAGTTTATCGTAGATATAATCCTTTCCTTTTCAATGCTTCTTTTAGTTATATTAATAGATTGTATTCATAATACATACTCGTATACATGGATGATTGTGTTATACTTTCATTATAATACTTAGTGGAATTACTGCTTTCAAAACGTGAATTAGAACTGGCCCCATAGCAGACATTTTCCTACATCTAAAGGCCTTTTAAAATATATATTGGTTATGGCTATTGGAGCGGGTACCACTTTCCATACATTTGTGCCCATCATCCTTTATTTAACTCAAAGGTGACTGGCTGACTGACATAGTGATCTATCAACGCACAGCTCAAACCTAGCAGTAAAATTAAGATTTCTTGCAACAGGGAGAACATATGAGTGTCTTAAATATTCACCACCATTCACTGTCACAGACTATAGGAGACTGAGAGGAAACTGTGCATGCAAGCATGAGCGGGCGCACACACGCTCGGTTATGCATGTGCGCAAACATAACCGAGCGGCAAAAATATCTTTTTTGATATTCGTTAGGTTGCATGTACACGCACCAATAACTGTACAGTTTTATAACATACACGCTAGGGTTTGCATGTCGGTTAAGCATGTACGGTCAAAACCATCATGCAAACCCTAACGTGTATGGCCACCATAAGGGGTCTAGTGGAGAAGATGATTAAATTTATTTAAACTTCATAAGCAATCTTTCTTCCTATTTAAATAATAGGTAGTATAATAATTCCAATCAGTAAAATAACCGATAATAAAGACAAATGTTACTGTTGCTGAGTGTCTGTGAGTTAATTAATTTAGTTGTTATTTATTTTTGGTGCACAGTAAACTGATAGTTGATAGGGACAACAACCAGAGAAACCTGAATGTGGTACAAGGACTATTTAAATACATAACACAAATCAATTCAAAAAGTAAGCAGCAATACGGAATAAATAAAAATAAATTACCTGATACGAGTAATTCGCCATTGCTCGAAAACTCAATAGCATTTACACATCCAAAATGACACACCAAGTCCCGGCGATATAGGTTTTTAGCAGCATCGAGACGCTTTTTATATAAATGCGACTTAAAGTCTGGTAAAAAGCCATACTCTCTTTTGATAAGATATGGTAAAGGGCTAGCGATATTCGCCATATTTAGAACAAAATCACCATTTTCTTTCTCACTGACACGACTGAAACAAAACTTTCGTTTGTCGTCGTTCAGTCAGCTGTATATTTTTATTTTTAAAACATGCGTTCCAATCTTCACAATAATGCAAACGTCAAAATTCAAATTCGCTGTATTTTCTTTTAGGCCAAGATGTGTGTACACTGCTTAAAATATGACAGACGGTAAAATAATTCAAAACATTGACTGACTGACAGTTGACACACATTGACAGCAACAAAGTAAGCAAGCAAAAAAGCAACACATGATTTTGGTTTAGATGTTCTTTTAATATTATTAGTTTTTCATTGATCGTTTATGACATACGTTAATTAGTATACCTTTAATTGCAGTTAATATAACTATGGTTGTTGCTGAACTTGTCAGGGAAACCATGAAGAAACCTTCTGTAAAAGTAACTGGTAAGGTTATATTCATATTTTAAGATTATCGATTATTTCACAACCAAACGAGCATTGAAAGATTCATATTTGTATTCTAGTGTCATCAGATTCTTCAAGTGCTGAGGAATCGGAAGACTCGGAACAAGAAGTCGAACCTACTGATAATGTTGAGATGAATGATGTTGATGGAAATGACGATGATGAAGCAGATGCTGATGTCGAGAGCAGTGGTGAAGGCGAGGACAGTTCCGACTCCGAAGGTGATGACGCTGCAGTAACAAATGAAGGCTGGGCGGATTCTCTTGCAAAGATCCTGGGATCCAGTAAACCCAAGAACAAGAAGACATTAGTATTGTCTAGGGCAAAGAAACATTCAGAGATAGTAAAAAAAGAGACAAATGAAAAACCTGCATTTGAAGTCATTGGTGAGACTGGTGAAGTCAAAAAGGAAGTGAAAAAAGAAGCTGTAGACGAAGAAGATTCCACAGAACCCCCTGTCAAGAAAGTGGTAAGCATTAGTATAATAATTTACTTTAATCTGTTGTGTGTTATAACATCTGGGGTTATAACTTGGTGAATATGTCTTTAACTTTAATTCAACTGTTTCAGAAACATGAAAAACCATCAATACGAGTAAAACCAAACATACTAGAAAAAGATAGAGAGAGGTTACTGTCTAAAATAGCTACAAAAGGTGTGGTACAGTTATTCAATGCAGTCAGAAATCAACAGAAGTCTTTAGACACCCAATTGGACAGAAATGATTTATCTGAACACAAAAAAGAGAAAATATTAAAGAAGTTTGATAAGAGAGCATTTTTAGATACTCTAATGGGTCAAACCAAGTCAGTTATTGTGGACAAAGAAACAAAACCACCCAAAGATGAAGTAAAGGCAGAAGATGAGAAACCTAGGTGGAATGCTCTGAGGTAAATATTACAATATTGGTAAGATGAATAAATTGATTTAAAATCATTTGCTTCATATTGTTGTTTATTTCCAGGGATGACTTCATGATGGGTGCCAAAATGAAAGATTGGGATAAAGAGTCTGTTGATGAATAAAACTGTTTATGTTGTAAGAATTTTAATAAACTAAGTACATTATTTACAGCTTTTATTATCATTACTATTAAGAAATAAGTAGATTATTTAATTAACATAGTGTAAGCATCATTTCCAACAGAATGTTGAGTGATTTGTTTAGGGAGAGTTGAATATATTTTGACAGGGAGATTCCATACCATTGTTTCAATGGGCACCTTCAGTGGTGCATTCCAATCTATTTCTTCTGGATTTGGCAAAAGCTTTTCATTTGTGGTCACAAATTCAAAGTGAAGACGCCATTTTAAAGACACTGAAAATAATAAATTTTATTATCAGCTAATTTATTTTAGCAAATAGTGACAACTTATTATGCAAATAAATTACCTTCATCAACTTCAAATGCTGGTGTAATGTGTAAAGGGATTGGCAATATAAGCTGTGAATGTGTAAGTCCCAAAGTAACTTCATGGTATCTTGCTACTGTCATTGATCTGCTGCTGGTGTCTTTGCTGGCATTTTTTGATGGAGACTTTGACTTTATAGTTTCTTCTGGTTGTAGGGATACAGAGACCTTAAAAAAAACAAATGAACAAGTTATTAGAAACAGTAAATAAAGCATAATTATTTCTGATCACTTATGTTTTGGTCTTATGTAAATTACCTGCATACAAGTAACTGATCCTACAGAGAAGTCGAAAGTACCAACAATATCTTCCCCCAATTTGTATGCAGATTTAAAGAGACAAAATCTTCCAACTTTTCCTCTTGTGTTTGTAATCATGTATGAGTTTGGACTCCTTCTTGCTGTAAGATTCTGGAAGTTAAAGTAATAAAATCTCATAAATGCTAATTAAAACAAATGTGGTAATTTATCCTGGCTGCCAAAGCAAATGGATACCATGAAGCAATACCTGTAAAACTTGCAAAGCCATTGTCAATGGTGTTTCAACTTTTCTCTCTTCTGAAAATGGATTTGTTGGTTGCAGCTCTTCTGTGGTTTCATTACCACATAGAGCTGCCAAGTCCTGCATGTTCATGATTGGGCTTATAGGCAGGACACGGAATGGTATTCGGACCATTTTGATGTGTGAGCCTACTTTTTGAGTTGCTATCGTGACTTTGTAAGAGTACTTTACTGAAGTCCCTCGGTAAGACGGTGCTGCTTCAATTGGAAGTGATTCTCTGTACCAAACTGCAGAAAGAAATAGATTCATATTTTAAGTCATTAAAACTAAAATGTTATTAACTCTATCATTAAACCAAATATTAGTCTTACATGTTTTACTCTCTCCAAGGGGTATTGTTAAGTCACAGAATAATATTTTTGGCTTAGTATGGAATATAACATCTCCAATATCACATGATGTTACTTCTAAAGAAGTTGTTTTGCCTAATATAGGTGTTTTTTCTCCAGTGTTTCCTGACGTTGAGTAGAAGCAGTGTATTTGTGCAGATGCCCATGCTAAGTTTTCAAGAATATCACTGGAACAACAAAATGTTAATAGGAAACTTCATCAAAGTTACTCAAGTTTCACGGGATAAAAAAGAAGCTGTGTTGTCATTAGTGTAAAATTGTATACTTTACCTGTGGCTTTGTGAATTCCTATGCTCTGGTTGAGTTGTGTGGCAGAATGTAATGCAACATTCCAGAGCTTCACCAGCCAAATACACTGTGCCAGTCGTTAATTTCGCCGAGAGCTCTATCATGATTAATTACTTAGCAAACTATAACACCAAATTAACTTTTCAGTAACCTATATTATTATGAGATTATGTTTATTAAATCAATATAATAAATAAATTAAAACTAAATTCACATTTTCGCAAAGTAGTATGACTACAAATTATACCTGTCAATGTCAAATGTCATAACATGTGTCAACATCATCATCATCATGCGTTCCGTTAACGAAATTCGCACGTTTACTGTGTACACCAACCTTTATAATTGACGTGAAAGCTATGAATCGGTAAAATAAACGTTAAGGAAGACGCTTCATTTCACGAAAAGGCGCAATTAAATATTTCTATAATTTATTAAAACTGATATTGTACGGCCATTAATTATAATAATTATTCAGTTAAATTGTTTGTAACATAATTGTGATTTTGTGGTTCTTAATTTTTCATGCTGATTTTGTATAAAATCTTTGAAATAATTATTGCCAAGTAATGATAAGATGAGCGTTATCTCGTGCAAAGGAACGTTTTCTAACGAACTATGTCGGGTTTGAAAAGCGGAATCAAAATTTTGTTCTATTTTATTTAAAAACAGTGGAAAATGTTGATATCCGACGGCATAAATCACGTTAAATTACAATCTATTATAGTGGGAGAACTAAAGAAAGCTGGATTAAAGCATCGTCTAAAGAAAATTATACTAAAAAGTGTCAAGGTATGTAGAACGATTTTGCCAACTTCTATGATTTCTTCTCTTTTGTATTTACTATTTTATTGTTTCCTTACCAGGATCACAAGACAGTATTTGGAGCTCCACTAGTAAAAGTTCCATCATGCAGTGTTATTTGCTGTGGGAGTACTTTGAGTGTTCCGATGGTAGTCACCGAGATGTCGACGGTGCTCCGAGCTAATGCCCACATCGAGGGTTTATTTAGAAAAGCTGGCTCGCAAAACCGCCAAAAAGATATCAAGGTATTTAATAAATAATAATTCTAAAATGATTTCTATGGTCTCTATAGTCATAGTTGTTAATAAATCTCGTAATATTTCTCCAGCGGTTACTTGATGCCGGCGGCTGCGTATCCGACGGTCACCACCCCATAGATGTGGCAAGTGTCTTGAAGCTGTACCTGAGATGTTTGCCAGAGCCTCTAATCAGTGCGGAGGTTCAAGATTTGCTTCTAAGATGCCGGCTATCCGCAGGGGACGATGCCCTCAGGCCTATTCTCCACACTTTGCTCCTTCTACCAGTACTACATGTCCATCTTCTACATTACATTATGGAGGTAAGTAATTTTATTTCTCATTGGTTTTAGACTTAGAGAGAATAAAAGAAAATGCATTGCTAGCTATACTATTATAGAGTAGACCAGGTAGAGCTATCCTGTATGTAGCAGTTACAGTAACCTACACCATTATTAATGCAATTTAGCCAATTTATTAGTATTTTAGACCATTTTCAGGGCATTTGTAGATGTTCCAAATATAGCTTGCCCTACCATTTACATTGTTATACCAGGGAAGTTTCTTCATTTCATTGATTTCAGTTGCTGAACTTCATTGCATCTAGACACAAAGATAACCTGATGGACTCGTCCAACCTGGCCATAGTCCTGGCTCCCAGCATCATGCCGCTGCCGGCCGCAGCATCTGCCCAACGACTGGAACACCATGTTGCACTTGTTAAGGTTTGCCGTGTATTTCACTTTATCATTGTTTAGGACATCCTGTAGCAAGTGATTGTTTTTCTTGTGGCATATCATTGATTTTGTAATTTTTAACCTTACAAACCAGTAGGTTCAAAATATTGCGACTATGATGTACTATGTAAATTCAAACTAGACGAAAAACTGTTTATAGTCAAACTGGTTCTATGATTTTTAGTCTCATATTGTATGGCTATGAAAACCAAATTAGATAATAATATGTGCATCTACTTACTACTGTTATTATTATATTGAATGTATTTTCCAGATATTCATCGAAAACTCGCAACATATTGGCTTACTAACAGAGGATCTCATGACACAACTAGACGACGATTCTGATGTGTATCTTGCAAGGAGAAAAAAAAGACGAAGTGGCTCTCTCAATCGTAAGTAGCTTCTTAAACAACATACCTGACATAACATAATATATTCTGTACTGTCAGTATAAAACTAACCAATAGTATAAAATAATAATTATGGCAATTTTTAGGTGTATTGAGTGGCCTTCGCAAAATGGTGTCAGGCAGTGTGAACACACCTGCAACAGTCCGTGAGACTGCCAAAACTCCCGTTCTGAGCAAATCCGCTGCCAAACGAAAGTTTGATAGTTATGAAGGACTTTCTACGAAAGCAAAGTAAGTGTTTGTTTAATGATTTTGAATTTTTTACCTGTGTAAAATATTTTATAATAATTTTCGTTTTAAAATTTGACTAATATTAACTTTACAGGAAAGAAATAACCCAAGGTTTGCCTCAGAAAGAACTGTCCTTCACACCTATGAAAATGTAAGTAAAAAATTACGAACTTACACTTTGCAGTATAGTATTAGAGACTTGATAATCAGAGCAAAAATAAGTTTGTACTAAACTTGATCACACACTATTATGTATTTCGATAGAGATTTTATCAGTGCGCGACTCGCCTGTTTGTCGGTTTTTGATGTCTCTTTGCAATACTCATAAACTATAGCAGTGTAATATTATTTATTTCAGGGGTATGGAACGCAAAAGACTACGACTTAGCTTAATGGACGCCAGAAGTACTCCTATCATCAATTCAGATTTCAGCTCTCATAAAAACTCAGAAACCAGTGTTAGCAGTGAAGACTTGCTGACTTCATCTGAACATCTATTTAGTAATCATGACACAATAGATTTATCACCAGACATGAAACAGACAGACAAAGATTACGTTAGGATATCCAAACAAGAATACGAGGAAATCAAAAGCAGAGTTTCAGCTATAGAAAATAGGCTATCTAGAGAATTCACCGACGTAATACCGAGAGTCCAACCACTGCAACAAGTGCAAAATGTTTACGAGCAAACCCTTGAAGAAGTCGCGATGCTGAACTGTGCAGGTTCTGATCATTTAGCGCGACGTCTAAGCAAAGAACTGAAGATTAGACCTAATGAAGAAGCGAAAATAATTCGATCTCCGAGTGCTAGGAAAATTGGTTCCATACGGCGGCGATCTAAAGAAAATATAACAAAAATCGTCAGGCATAAATCATGGAATGCATCCTCACATTCCCAAGCTAGTCAAAATGGAGATAGATTTTACCCCTACGTAGGTTTGTCTCGTCGCAGCAGAACCAGCACTGCAAAGCCTGATTTAGCTGTGCCTACTTCTACACCAAACAATTGGGATGAATCATTATCTGAAAACTCACTCAACAATTCAAATTCCAACAAGAAGTATCAATTACGAAAAAGAGTTAGTCTCGCATCCAATTATAATTTAGATAAAACCATTGGGAAGCACCAACCTCGAAGGTCTTTGAATTTAACAGCTGAAAACAGTTGGGACAATTCTGAAAGTTCAATGAATAACACTATGAATTCGAGTATGAAATCGATAAAATCGGATATCATGAGACATTACCAAAACGTTGTTAACAGAAGTAAGTTGAACAAGCAAAGTCCGCAACAGCAAAAATGGCGCAGTGCCGCTGCATTCTTCATGGATAAAACGGGAGAAGTGGAAAGTACTAGTCAGACTGGACGACCGTCAGTGAACAAACTGCGTCGCCAGAATGCCGGGGCTGTACTCGCGAAAGCCAAGCTTTTCGAGTCCAGTTCGGACAAGTCTTCAGAGAGGAATGAGAAAACAGCTCATACAGGGTTTGCTAGAAAACCTAGAAACAGTCAGCCAGTTAAACCAACAAAACTTGTAGCTCATGTTAAACCCAAAGTACAGACTACCTGTCATGATGTAGCACCTAGTATCCCAGCGAGGCTGCAGAGAGTGGTAGACGTAGCGCCGAGTGTGCCAGCACGTCCACATAGACAGCTCAATCTTCACACTAAAGAAGACGTCGAAGCATGGCGGTTGAATAGGAAAACCACGCCTATAAAGAAAATCACTTCACCTCCAAGTTCTCAGGTCAAGACACCTCAACAAACGCCAGCTCTGAGAAAACCTCTATGCACTCCCAGGAATATACGAACTCCAGCTGCGATCAACGACTCTCGAAAAATAAATACACCCATGAAAGCTGTGCACATTTCTCCCAGAAGACGGTCTCCGCGGCAAAAACGTTTTCTATAGCAAAGGAAAAAGACTTCTGTTATTTTATATCAGTTTAATTTAATTAATATAATATTAGATCAGCGAATATTAGATTTAAGTAAGTGTGATTAAAGAAATCAGTGGCCATGTGTAAATAGTATTATTATTCTAAATGTAAATCATACATAAGTAATCCGATTGAATTTTAATTAAACAAGTTTACAATTAAGAAACAGTTTTTGGTATTACCTGTTGAAAATTCTTTATTCCGATCTGTCCCCTTGGAGTTTGCCAATCGGGTGGTGGTTATAGTCTGGTCCGTGAGCACGTAGAATTTTGTCCAATGAGCCCAAGCTACCCATATCCTTATCGCTCGCGCGTAATTATGTTGCTATCGCGCTCGCACACTCACTGCGGGTGCCAGTCGCGACAGCAATATGATTATGCGCGAGCGAAAGGATGGGTAGCTAGGGGTCATTGGACAAAATTCTACGTGCTCACGGACCGGGCTTTAGTACCTACTAAATTGGTGGCGTTTATTTCCATCTGCCACCTTTGAGATTTCCACCGGGGTGGTGGTTAGCACTAAATAGATGGCGTTTATATTCCCATCAGCCCCCTTTGAGCTTGCCACCGGGGTGGTGTTTGGCACTAAATATAGGTGATATATTACCATCTGCCCCCTTCAAGTTTGCCACTAAATAGGTGTGACGTTTACATTCCCAACTGCCCCTTCGAACTTGCCACGCACACACACGCATTCTTCACAGTTGCTCCCACTGGAGGCAAGGGACTATTCCTATTCCTTTATTACGTAAGACGAAGGGGGGAGGGGGTCGACCATCTCACGTAAGAACGTAAGATTACAAAAATGCACAAGTGCAGGCGAAAACGATTTCCATTAATATGACAACGGACCCACTACTAGATAATATACTCTATGCCCACTACCACCTGCACTGCTGCGCTTCCCGGGAATTTCCTGCTTGTGTACTAGTCGTCAAACGTATACCTATTCATTTGGTTCCTTTTGAGATTTCTTACGTAATAAATATTAAACAGGGGGGAGGGGGTCGGCCTATTCTTTCTTATGTTAATTAATTGAACGTATTCCACCTTCGCCAGCATATTATTATTATAAATGCGAAAGTAACTCTGTCTGTCTTGCTTTCACGCCTAAATTACTGAACCGATTTTGATGAAGTTTGGCATAGAGATTTGAGTCCCAGGAAAGGACATAGGATAGTTTCCCGGTTGTTGAAACAGGGACGCGCGCGATAAAGTTTTTCTGTGACAGACATTATTATTATGTTAAGTTACGTTACATGTTATTCCCACGCTTTCCGAGGTGGTGATTGGAAGTATTGGAATTAAATAGGCGATATCAGAAATCTAAATATACATTGAGGAGTTTTGTCGCATAGATAGTGAAAAATATGTATAAAAAGTGTTTGTATGTAATCTAAGGTTTATAAGTGGGATGAAATAAAATGCTGATTGATAATATTATATGATGTATATCACGGCTTTTACAGTGGTATTTTCATGTATAAACAAAATATCCTGATTTGTATTCAATAAATTAAGAACATACTGACGATTCAATAAATAACAATAATTTTCACATTCAAATATATAAAGCATCGGCGCCACAATAATTTGGATGATACAATAAAGTCATAATAATTCTGCATGGGATTCAACTAAAATAAATTCACTTACACATTTAGCGATGATCACAGATTGAGGATTATAAAAAAGCAGATTCAGAACATACCGTGCTATGGAGAGACGTTTAACAATTCGAAACTTGCAATAGTGATTACTGAGTAATTTAGTTTTTCATTATAGCTTATTGGCTAACTTACGCTATCAGCACTCGGGCCGCTCACGCGCGGCTCATCCCAGTTAACATTGCTTCTCGATCGACATCAATACCAAATTTAAATTAACAATATAATAAAATATCAATTGTACCTAAGATCTTTTCCAATTAAATACGCACATTCGTTCTTAATTTGCATCTTAATATACATTAACGCGCCGCACGCGCTTGAATCCGAACGAGCGGCGAGCGCGGCTACATCATTCCATAATAACATACATGTTGTGATCAATAATAAAAATATAATGATACAAATACATTAATTGCTACATTTTCGATTATTGTGTGACATAAATATTTACAAAGCGCACCGGGAGCGCGACATTAGACGGCGGAGGCCGCCCCCGCGGGCGACTGCCGGCAGGAGAGCTACTAAATGCCCCAAAATAAAAGGAAATCTCGTCGTCAAAAAGATAAAAAATTAAGCATATCATTATAATACAGTACAAGCCATCCTGACCGACACAGTCGCCGGAACAAACTAGACGCTAGGTACTTCTCGTTCAGGAAACAAAACGACACTTCCCGCGATTACGAAACTATAGTAGACACATTATAATACGTTCCTACATCTTACAAAACGAATAACATTACTCTAAATAGCGATGCGCGATCTCTCGATACGATAGGACGATTACGATTCGGGAATGCATGACACTACTCGACGAAATACATAATTATTAAGTACCGATTATTTAAAACGCGGCCGAAAGGCGAGTCGGCTGTTTAACTAGAAAGTACAAAGTTGCAAAATACGTCCGAGTCGTCGCTGCGGGGTCGCGGCGGCCTCGCGCTGCCATCAGCTCTGGGGAACGCGGCTCACGCGCGTGAATTGTGCGTCTTTATGCCACGCGCATAACCTTTCGCCGAGTGAACGGACCAGACACGCGCGGGAAACGCGTCACCCAGAAACTAGAGAACGATTCACGCTTCTCCGTTTCCAAAGATCCGTTTCAACTAATAAAAGGTACGTAGGTCCAAGGAAATAGAGATTCATGACCATTCTTATCAACTCTGACTTGATCACTTTTCCCTAACTACCAATACGGCGTTTAGAAAAGGAAACGCTACAGCAGTGAGGGAGAGGATCAAGTAAGAGTTGATGGAGGCCGCGCGCGACTTACCGCGATTATACGTTCATATTCGATAGAGCTGGCACGAATGGATTGAATAAATTGAGCGTTCATCTTTAGAAATAAAATTCCACAGAGCCGACACAGTGACACGAGAGACAAGTGTGTTTTACTCGATATTTGATAATATAATCCTGCCGCGATTCCATCATCGATCGGCTCGATTCCTACAACTCGATGTAACTTCTTTGTATAAAAAATAAAGAAAAGATTAAAAAAATCGAGTTGTTCAACAACTATAAAACAGATATTTATTATTGCTTTTTCATTTACTGGATAGAACAGATAAGGAGATAGTCCAACTCAGGTTTGAGATAGAGATAAATCCTGTAATCAAACCCAGTGTCAATAAGAGTATTTTTTTATGCTTTGAAGAAGATAAATAAATTCCCTTAGTTTTAGACTCGGAATGATTCGCAGCATCACGAGATTCAAATCGAGTAAAACTACACTTCATTCACAAATCAAGCCGGTAAACTGTTTGAGCCAACAGGATACGTCGTAGTCACTTTTTTTAATAATAAATATCCTTGGACATTTTACACTGCGCTTCTAGTCCCAAACTAAGCAAAGCTTGTACTATGGGTACTAGACAACGGATATAAACATACTTAAATACTTTTTTTTTTTGTAAATACATACATATTATACATAGAAAACACCCAGTCCAATACAAACAAATATGTTCATGCACACAAATGTTTGTACTGTGCGGGAATTGAACCCGCAACCTCCGGAATAGTAGTCCGTTTCGAACCACTACACCAAACGGCCGACAATTATTACGACTTATCGGCTAGCATCTAATTAGGACTCGAAAAAAAAAAGTTTAGGCACTACAAACGTTCGCTCCATTCGTGTCAGAGGGCCTACTCCGCGGGGATTCCCGTTACGGCTATACCGGACAGAGTAGAGTTTAGAGTTGTGTCAGCGGGGACAGGGAGGGATCAAGGGGGGCAGGGCCTGGAACAACAACAGCGGGCGGGGGCGGCGTGGCGCGGGGACACTCAGTTCACCATCAGCGTGTGAGACTCCATGGGCGCGGCCGAGTCGTACAGGGTGTCTGTGTCCTGCGTAGGCTCGCCCTGCAGCTGGCACTGGTTCGACAGCGTCCCCGCGCCGCAGTCGCAGAAGAATCTGGACAAAGGAAAATCACTTTTAGCTGAAGGAGTCTAGGTGCAATTTTGATTCAGACTAACGGCTACTCTGAAACACGTTTACGTAGTTTCGGGTCTGTCACCGTCGCTCGCGATGGCATCTCGCTTTGCGTGAGAGGGATAGCGACATTCGAAACTTCGGATGTTTTTCGAAGTAACCCCGGTCCATTTCAACTCTTGTTAAAACATGCTGCGGTTAAAGAGCGAATTCCCACGTCATATATTGTTTTATGTAAATCGAATTTGCATGTTTAACACTGCGAATATTATTGAAATTTAAATAAGCAGATTGTTTACCTTTTTAACCCTTTATAGGACGGCCCATACAAAGTGGCCAATAAACTGGACAGTCACTTTACGGCCGATAATTCAATGATTTTTGTAACAATGTCGAACCTTATGATCATAAACGATAGCCAATAAAGCACGCTGGCCTAGAAACGAGCCAGCGCTCAAGGACGTCGCACGCAATCAAAAAATCGCGCTCTTTTTTAAGGTGGCCTGTCAACTGGCCACTGTGCACACCCGTACTAGTATTTGCTGCCATTGCAAGCAGACGATACATATTTCCGAGTGTAGTTCAATGTAAAAACATATCTTCGTAAAGAAGATGAGTAAAATAATAATGTTATAGTATATACTTTATCATCACGTGAAAATATAGTCGAAAACCGTAAAATAAACATGTTATTTTTGCAATTAAAAACAGACTAGTGTGTTGAAAAAGCCTTGTGTAGAAATTACACATGTGAATTTGAGGTGGTCTCATATTTATATGTTTTGATTTTTACACACAAATTATATCGTTTTATACTGAGTATATTATTAATTTTTATAATACAATAACATAATAAGCCCAAATATACGGGTTCGGTAGTTATACCCCATTATTATAACTGTTTAGGTATTTTTTCATACAAAATTATGTATATTTGTGGATAATGTATATAATAATCCTGGGTTTATTGAGTTTTCATTCACGTTTTTTTATTTTATAACATAATATTGTCTCTAAATTATTATATAATGTTTACTTTAGTTGACAAAAC